GGGTGCTAGGTCGGCGGGTGCTAGGTCGGCGGGTGCCAGGTCGGCGGGTGCTAGGTCCGGGTGCGAGGTCGGCGGGTGCGAGGTCGGCGGGTGCGAGGTCGGCGGGTGCGAGGTCGGCGGGTGCTAGGTCGGCGGGTGCTAGGTCGGCGGGTGCTAGGTCGGTGGGTGCTAGGTCGGTGGGTGCCAGGCCGGTGGGTGCCAGGTCGGCGGGTGCTTGGTCGGCGGATGCTAGGTCGGCGGGTGCCAGGTCGGCGGGTGCCAGGTCGGCGGTTGCCAGGTCGGCGGGTGCTAGGTCGGTGGGTGCCAGGTCGGCGGGTGCCAGGTCGGCGGGTGCTAGGTCGGTGGGTGCTAGGTCGGCGGGTGCTAGGTCGGTGGGTGCTAGGTCGGCGGGTGCTAGGTCGGCGGGTGCTAGGTCGGTGGGTGCCAGGTCGGCGGGTGCTAGGTCGGTGGGTGCCAGGTCGGTGAGTGCCAGGTCGGCGGGTGCTAGGTCGGTAGGTGCTAGGTCGGCGGGTGCCAGGTCGGCGGGTGCCAGGTCGGTGGGTGCCAGGTCGGCGGGTGCTAGGTCGGCCAGGTCGGCGGGTGCTAGGTCGGTGGGTGCTAGGTCGGCGGGTGCTAGGTCGGCGGATGCTTGGTCGGCGGGTGCCAGGTCAGCGGGTGCCAGGTCGGCGGGTGCTAGGTCGGCGGGTGCTAGGTCGGCGGGTGCCAGGTCGGCGGGTGCCAGGTCGGCGGGTGCCAGGTCGGCGGGTGCCAGGTCGGCGGGTGCCAGGTCGGCGGGTGCCAGGTCGGCGGGTGCCAGGTCGGCGGGTGCTAGGTCGGCGGGTGCCAGGTCGGCGGGTGCGAGGTCGGCGGGTGCCAGGTCGGCGGGTGCCAGGTCGGCGGGTGCTAGGTCAGTGGGTGCCAGGTCGGCGGGTGCCAGGTCGGCGGGAGCCAGGCCGGCGGGTGCCAGGTCGGTGGGTGCCAGGTCGGCAGGTGCCAGGTCGGTGGGTGCCAGGTCGGCGGGTGCTAGGTCGGCGGGTGCTAGGTCGGCGGGTGCTAGGTCGGCGGGTGCTAGGTCGGTGGCTGCTAGGTCGGCGGGTGCTAGGTCGGCGGGTGCTAGGTCGGCGGGTGCTAGGTCGGCGGGTGCTAGGTCGGTGGGAGCTAGGTCGGTGGGTGCCAGGCCGGCGGGTGCTGGGTGCCAGGTCGGCGGGTGCGAGGTCGGCGGGTGCTAGGTCGGCGGTGCTAGGTCGGTGGGTGCCAGCGGGTGCCACGTCCGCGGGTGCTAGGTCGGCGGGTGCTAGGTCGGCGGGTGCTAGGTCGGCGGGTGCCAGGTCAGCGGGTGCTAGGCCGGTGGGTGCCAGGTCGGCGGGTGCTAGGCCGGTGGGTGCTAGGTCGGCGGGTGCTAGGTCGGTGGGAGCTAGGTCGGTGGGTGCCAGGCCGGCGGGTGCTGGGTGCCAGGTCGGCGGGTGCGAGGTCGGCGGGTGCTAGGTCGGCGGTGCTAGGTCGGTGGGTGCCAGCGGGTGCCACGTCCGCGGGTGCTAGGTCGGCGGGTGCTAGGTTGGTGGGTGCTAGGTCGGCGGGTGCCAGGTCCGCGGGTGCTAGGCCAGTGGGTGCCAGGTCGGCGGGGGCTAGGCCGGTGGGTGCCAGGTCGGCGGGTGCTGGGTCGGTGGATGCTAGGTCGGTGGGTGCTAGGTCGGCGGGTGCTAGGTCGGCGGCTGATAGGCCGGTGGGTGCCAGGTCGGCGGGTGCTAGGTCGGCGGATGCTAGGTCGGCGGGTGCCAGGTCGGCGGGTGCCAGGTCGGCGGGTGCGAGGTCGGCGGTGCTAGGTCTGTGGGTGCCAGGTCGGCGGGTGCCACGTCTGCGGGTGCGAGGTCGGCGGGTGCTAGGTCGGTGGGTGCTAGGTCGGCGGGTGCCAGGTCCGCGCGTGCTAGGTCGGCGGGTGCTAGGTCGGCGGGTGCTAGGTCGGTGGGTGCCAGGTCGGCGGGTGCTGGGTCGGTGGATGCTAGGTCGGTGGGTGCTAGGTCGGCGGGTGCTAGGTCGGCGGGTGCTAGGCCGGTGGGTGCTAGGTCGGCGGGTGCTAGGTCGGCGGGTGCTAGGTCGGCGGGTGCCAGGTCGGCGGGTGCGAGGTCGGCGGGTGCGAGGTCGGCGGGTGCTAGGTCGGCGGGTGATAGACCGGTGGGTGCTAGGTCGGCGGGTGCTATGTCGGCGGGTGCCAGGTCGGCGGATGCCAGATCGGCGGGTGCTAGGTCGGCGGGTGCTAGGCCGGCGGGTGCTAGGTCGGTGGGTGCTAGGTCGGCGGGTGCCAGGTCGGAGGGTGCTGGGTCGGTGGATGCTAGGTCGGTGGGTGCTAGGTCGGCGGGTGCTAGGTCGGCGGGTGATAGACCGGTGGGTGCCAGGTCGGCGGGTGCTAGGTCGGTGGGTGCTAGGTCGGCGGGTGCTAGGTCGGCGGGTGATAGACCGGTGGGTGCCAGGTCGGCGGGTGCTAGGTCGGCGGATGCTAGGTCGGCGGGTGCCAGATCGGCGGGTGCCAGGTCGGCGGGTGCCAGGTCGGCGGGTGCGAGGTCGGCGGTGCTAGGTCTGTGGGTGCCAGGTCGGCGGGTGCCACGTCCGCGGGTGCGAGGTCGGCGGGTGCTTGGTCGGTGGGTGCTAGGTCGGCGGGTGCTAGGTCGGCGGGTGCTAGGTCGGCGGGTGCTAGGTCGGCGGGTGCTAGGTCGGTGGGTGCCAGGTCGGCGGGTGCTGGGTCGGTGGATGCTAGGTCGGTGGGTGCTAGGTCGGCGGGTGCTAGGTCGGCGGGTGATAGGCCAGTGGGTGCCAGGTCGGCGGGTGCCAGGTCGGCGGGTGCCAGGTCGGCGGGTGCGAGGTCGGCGGGTGCGAGGTCGGCGGGTGCGAGGTCGGCGGGTGCGAGGTCGGCGGGTGCTAGGTCGGCGGGTGCGAGGTCGGCGGGTGCTAGGTCGGCGGGTGCCAGGTCGGCGGGTGCCAGGTCGGCGGGTGCTAGGTCGGCGGGTGCGAGGTCGGCGGGTGCGAGGTCGGCGGGTGCGAGGTCGGCGGGTGCGAGGTCGGCGGGTGCTAGGTCGGCGGGTGCCAGGTCGGCGGGTGCCAGGTCGGCGGGTGCTAGGTCGGCGGGTGCTAGGCCGGCGGGTGCTAGGTCGGCGGGTGCTAGGTCGGCGGGTGCCAGGTCGGCGGGTGCTGGGCCGGTGGGTGCCAGGTCGGCGGGTGCTGGGTCGGTGGATGCTAGGTCGGCGGGTGCTAGGTCGGTGGGTGCTAGGTCGGTGGGTGCCAGGCCGGCGGGTGCTGGGTGCCAGGTCGGCGGGTGCTAGGTCGGCGGGTGCTAGGTCGGCGGTGCTAGGTCGGTGGGTGCCAGGTCGGCGGGTGCCACGTCCGCGGGTGCTAGGTGCCAAAACACCCGGGAAAAAAGCCTTCAGGTTCCCCTGCGCAGACTCTCTTACATGCAGTCGAAAAACCAAACCCCCTGGGAAGATGCGCACACATGTTAATGTCACAGCGCTGCGCTGGACGGCTAAGGTAACCATGTTCTTGGCCCCAGCCTCAACCCTGACTGATGTATTAGGCACCTAGGAAGCAGCACGGCGCTCCCATGTGCGCCCTACTACCACCAGTTCTGTCATCAACCTACACGACGTATAAAGAACAAAGAAAGGATTGCAATTTAGCTTTCAAAACTCTAATCTGAGGCCTGGAGAAAACATTCCGGAGGTCCATGTAGAAAAGTCGTTGGGGCCCTGAACCCACCCACCCACCCCTGCCGTACCAACTTTGCAAGCCGTTAACTCTTTCCGTACAACAGCAGTTCGAGACCGTTACCATGCGGCTTGTTGAGCATGCCAGCGAGATGGCGGAGCACGCAAGCAAGGTACAGGAGTGCACCAGCAAGATAGAGGAGCTCACTAACGAGCTTGCGGAGATGAAGCTGCGGCTTAGCCAGCCAGTAGCGAAACAACCCCCTCAACCGGCAACACCACAGCAGGTGTTGTGCGAGGAAGGGGCGGCTCATCATCAGCAACGTGGCAGCTACTGTCCCACTGCGACACAGTGAGGCAGAAACTTCAGCAGTTCATGTGGACGAACGGCGCTGACTGTGATATCCACACAGCGGAAGACTTGTCTTATCACGAACTGCCAGGGAAACCGCCCACTCACAGCAGCAGCATCACCATCAGCCCTGTGGCGTGGGACATCATTGTCCGCAGGGCGCGAACTGATGTGGGTGGTACGCGACTATCTCACCAAAGCTGGGCTAGAGGCCAGGCAGCAGCAGCAAGAACTGTTCACGCAGCTGAAGAGCCAGGGCATGAACCCGGCTTGGGGCAACAGAACAGAAACTTGGGTGAAGCCTCAAGGGCAGGAGCGCTACATGTCACATCAAGTTTAACTTAGGGTGTCATATAACCATGGAGCAGCCCCCTCTGATGCAGTCACACCTCCGGGTGGGCGGGTGCCCTAGGCGCCAACACTGGGGGCGGCGTAGCCCACCAGCTAGCTGCTGGAGATGCGAAAGCTCCACGGAAGCCAAAGGAGGGCAACTGTAAAGGAGACTGAACTTAGGACGCATAGTGGTGTTGAAGGGTATTCTTACTGAACAAGCGTGGAAGAAGCGTAGAGGAATAGCATGACATGGTTATCTGTTTAGTTGCGAATGGTTAAGTGAATAGACAACTGTGTCGTTCCTGGAGTCGCAAGCTGATGAGGATTAAGGATGGGTTTGTAGTCCTGTTGGAGTACATGTGCCTCGTTCACTGAGAACAATCGTCGATCACTCAAAGCAAGCTGTGCAGTTGTGAATTTAGCAATATCCAGTATGTGAGTTTACTGTGTGCTTTTATTGCATTTAGGTCTGACTATATCTTTTAGACCAATGTTTCAGCGCAGTACTTCCTCACCGCTATTAGTCGCTGTCGTCGCACCTCTTGACCGCAATGGTTCGTGGGGTTGTGCGGTAGGGCGGAGGGCCCTACACCGTACCTTGTAATTTGTAATCGAAATCGTAAACCACAAAACCAGCATAGAAGTCACTTCGCATTCCTACACGTAAACAATCATTTCTACAGTAGACTATTTGTGCTGCACGAGTAGTCAGTGTAACCAATATGCAAAACTTCGTCTACGTGTAGACGTGCCTACTAGATTTACAATGCCCCGAGGAGCACACCATAATAGCAAAGGTATGCTGTTACGCATGTATGTTAAGCGCTATCTGCGGTCCTCTTAAGTGTCCCAGACTCTGAAAATGCCAGGGACGCCTGCCGTGTAGTAAAGTGTACTTATAGTAGTCGGATTCTGCGCGTTGCTCGGGCGTGAAATGTAGCTGCCTCATGTTAACGGGCATCAGCCGTCGCGGCTGCCTATTGCATTTCCAACAAATTATAGAATGCACGTCCCAGTGAGAACGGCTTTATAGGAAGCTGTGCCGTTGCACCTTGCGATTACCAAGTTCATCGCCTTCTGAGGTTGAAAATGTCTTGTGTACCTAGACATGTACCGTCATACTGCACTGTATAATGTGTTTCCCGGAGCAAATAACTGTGTCCTTTCCCGAATTCCATCCCACAGGCACTTTGCTGGCCCTGCTAGTAGGTGTCCTGGTGTTGGCTTCACTTGCAGCAGAATGCCTCCTAATTCCCACGGATGGCGGTGTCACTCTGGATCAGCTGCTGTCAGGGCAGGATATCCTTCCACAGGGTGTCATATACCTACAGCAGCAGGGTGCAGATTTCGTGACGGTGGAACTCCCCTCATCCACGGTTGTCCTGGAGGGCAGGGGAAGCACCATGCCAGAGAGCCAGATGACTCCCAAGCCGCCATCAATGGTCCGTTACAACCCACCAGCCCCTCCCAGCCCTCCAAAGCCACCAAGCCCGCCAAGCCCACCCTTTCCTCCAACACCACCGCTAGCTCCGCCCCAGCCGCCTCTACCGGCGCCCAGCCCAGATGCACCCTTTCCGCCTGCTGAAGCTCCATACACAGTGCTGGATTTTAACTCTTATCGTTTTGCTTCCATGCGTGGGATCCCTGCAATGAGTGTAGCAGCAGGTGTGTGCACACCCTGAAATTAAATATTCGGCTTTCTCCTTCACAGTCATATCACTGGGGGTCGACTGGTAGGTTGTGAAGTAGGATATAGCAGCCTTTGCTTTACCTCGGTTGCTTGCCTTGCTGTGCAGGACAACACCTGACCATCTCATCCCTGGGGATAAGTGCTACTGATGTTCAACATCCTCTGGGACCACGCAGGGGTACAACCCTTTTCTCACTGTCACCAGCGTATTTAATAGAAGTCCAAGAGGGAGCCACTCTAACCCTTCAAAACGTAACGTTGCTCATGGATTCTGGCTATCTGACATCCTATCTAGCCGAGATAAGCAAGGCGACCAGTTCATGGCCCTACACCACAACCGTAACCGTCCGCAACGGTGTCCTTCAGATAGAATCCCTAACCACACAAGCTCGGGTGGTGTCCTTCCATTCCCAGGATTATACCTTCGAAGCGTACACAGGCGGTGAGGTGCAGTGGTCTGGTGTAACAATAACCTGCCCAGGGAGTGTACCAAGTCTCCGTTTAGGAGCAGCTCCGGTGACAAGCATTTGGCAGCTAGACCAATCAAGTCTGGCATCAATGATCGGCAACATGACTATTGCCACCCTGTTTATGTCTGTGGCGGCGGATTTGAAGTTGCCTGGAGATGGGAGCTGGCAGCCGGTGAGGGAGCTGGGAGCCTGCAGTGATGGGAGCTGTGCTGTTGGTGCCCGTGGGGTGGCTGTGTCAAACAGGGTGGTACATACGCATTGTGATGATAGAAGGACATGTCTTCGGTCAAGAAGGGCTTATGCTCCCCATGCTGCCAACACAGGTACCTTTGCCGCCATTTGTCCTGGTGGTGCTGCTGGGCAACCCTGCAAGGACCACCACATTCGACCTGGCAGGGGTGGAGCGCTCATGGTACAAAATTAGCGAACAGCCTGTTCTCGTTGTTTATGAAACAATGCTGCAAGTCATGCAACTGCACGACCTTACAGTTATTAATTTGCCACTTGCGACAACACCTGCCAACGCAAGCAGCCTGCTGGCTGTAAGCCTGCAGAGTTTTGGAATTGACAGGTGAGCCGGGATTGGGCGGCAAGCGATGGAAGTTGTACGGGTTAAATACTGGCGGGTGGCATTCTAGTCGTCATGGAACCCGAGCTGAAAGGAGTCCAGGTACAAATCCTGCTGGTGTGCCGTACGGCCATCAGGACAGCCCAGGTTGTTGTGCAGCAATATGCTTTCTTGTTGGTTCCTTTATGGATAGCTTATGTGATAGTGTGCTGGCCCCTAAGGTGTAGGAGAGCATACGCTTTAAAGAAGCCAAGGAGTTTGAGACGTTTTCCTGCTGTACTGGTCCCCACAGGATGACTCTTACTTTAACGTCACCCCAGCTCATCCTCAAGCGTAGTACACTTGTAGTGCCGGATCAAGAGGTTGCCTTTTTGGTCCGGGTGTCCCGGACCAACGGGAATTCTACCTCAAATGCGCAGCTGGCTTCACTCTTCACCATCTTTGACGTTCAGGTCTGCCTATGGGCTGGCTCACGTAGCAGTTCTACTCGGACCGCACGTGTTGTGGTTGGATAGGGTTGAATTGCAGGCCCTACCGCTTTTAACCCAGTTTACCCAGTATGCCTAGCCCACGAGCACCAGCTGGCTGATATAGCTAGTTGGTTAACAGGCTAAGCTTGCACGTTGTCATCGTTGCCAAACAAGCACTGATCCTTGGGTTTACCTCTTAACCCTTGCACTTCGTAACGCCCTCACCGCAGCAACCCTCCAACAATGCACTTGAGGGGCAGCTGCTGGTCAACCAGCTGCGGATGGGGACGCAGGTGAGCACACCCGTGTATTGCCTGTGTCCCAAGATTTGTGGCAATCTTAACACTTATAGCGTCGTGTCATTGTTTTTTCAGTGAGATGAGGCCTTTCCTTATCGATGGCCTTGGCCGGCATGTGCTTGTATTATACCATCCCCCAACATCCGTACTGTTAGCTACATCCTCGCTTGCACCTACCCCTCCAGGTTTCCCTGATCAACTGCACGCTGCTGTCCGCCAGCCACTACGCGGCACTACCAGGTGCCCAGCCACTGCTGCCGCAGTCTCTGCTGTGGGCCCCGGAGCTGCTGCATGGGGATGCTGAGACGGCAGCGCAGTGGGTGAGTGCCTGGCAGGATACAGCAGCGGCCCCTGTGAACCGAGCCGCGCAATGCAAGCTTGCCTAGCAAGGTCTGTCGAGCACTTGCTCCATGCCGTGTTCCACTGACCGTCTTTGATGACTTGCAGCCTAACGTGGCACTGTCAGCGCCTTCTCTCATTACATTCCGGGTTACCTGGTTGCAGGGTCCGTTGGGACTTGCCTTGGCTCCCAGCTTTCAGTACGCCCTGTCCAACCTCGACTCGACTTGTGGGCCACTGCCGGGCAAGGCCCCCGTCACGGTTGTTACAAGGTACGTGGGATGCAGAATGGCGGTATTTCTGGGCTGACCTTAGATTGCTGTACTGGAAACTGTAGCTCGAAACCCGTGTGTCGCAATCTGGGAGGCTTTCGCTCGGCATTTAAGGACAGTTTGCTCATTGCTTGGCCCGTGCACAAAAGTGTTGCTCAACCATTTACCTGTGGTCGCTGACCATTCTCACCGTTGCCTGTGTAATGGCCGACAGACGCAACGACCAGAGCATCCCCGCGGTGCTATCCGGCGCTGAAGAGGCTGCCAGCTCGATCCGCATCTCTAGCGGTGGTCCGCTGGCCCCTGCTGGCGAGTGCGTTGTGGGCGGCTACCCGCAGCAGCTGGGAGGCGGCCGCACCTTTGTGAACCTGCAGGTGAGGGAGGGGCAGTACCGTGCGCGCCTGCAAAAGGGTAGCCACGGGTCGCAGGTGTGCAGCTTTTTCTTTGGAACACTGCCAGCCGCAACCTAATGCCTACCTCACAATCACACCCTCTTCACGTTCGATTGACAGGGAGCCATCGGCCGTGTCGATCTGCAACGTCCCGTCACACTCCGAAACCTGGTGTTGTACAACCTAGCGCCCGGCGGCATGTACCCTCTGGAAGCCAGTGCTGGGGACGACGACTACATCAGCGGCCATGGCATACGAGCAGAGCCGCCCCAGCTGAGGGGCCCGGACGCGGCTTGGGCCAACAGCTCCCTCCCACTCTGGTTCTTCAGCAAGACTGGCAACACCAACACGACGGCCCCACAGACCCCACGGCTAGTCCTCGAGAATGTCACTCTCGTGGTTTCAGAGCCCGAGTGGCGTGCGCTAGCTGCTGCCGTGCTGCTGCAACAAGTGGATGCTGCAGCCGGGCAGGCTCGCTCGCGCAGGGCGCAGGAGGAGCAGGATGCACCGCAGCCAACGTATTATAGGGCGGCCACAGCTGGGAAGAGCGATGGGGCTGAGATATTTGGCGCCGAAGCTTCTCGGGGCATGTCTCGTAATCTAAAGGGGCTCTTGGGAGGAGGAGGAGGTAAGTCTTGGGCAGGCTAGCCCTCTTACGACGGACTTGCCATCCCTGCCACCTGGTTGTTCGTATCCACTAGACCCTGCTGCACTTCCCTGTGTCCCTGTGCATATCAGTGTCTCAACTTGTTTTCAGCTAAATAATACCACTCTTTTCAGTTGGATTCCATGCTGAGCCTGCCTGGAGGGTACTTATGTTGCACACGACATGCCTCTTCTCAGTTGTCCCGTTGACGTCCAATTTCTCCACATCAATGCACAGGTGGCATACTTCGCTGGTACTATCCGACGCCGCAGCCACCCCGACCCCCGTCTCCACCTCTGCCGCCACCCAGCCTCCCGCCACCTTCACCCTACCAACAACCACTGGCGCCTACCGTGCCTCAACCGCCTGTGGTAGCCAGCGCTGCCAGGCCACCAGTACAGCCAAGTCAACCGCCACCGCCGCCGCCTTCAATGCCACCACCGACACCCCTGCCACCACCACCCCCGCTCTTGCCGCCTTCACCTAAACCACTACCACCAAAACCGTCGCCACCGCCACCACCCCCACCGCCACCACCTTCAATGCCACCACCGACACCTCTGCCACCTTCACCCCCGCTGCCTCCACCACTGCGACCACAAACCCCGCTGCTGCCGCCTTCCCCACAGCCACTGCCCCCGCAACCAGCACCGCCGACACCAACCCCGTCACCATCACCGCCACAACCATCACCAGCACTACCCCCCCAGCCGCCACCTCCGCGACGACCCCGGCCTCCTCCGCCGTCACCCCCTAAGCCACCGTCTCCGCCCCCGCGTCCTCCCCATCCACGACCTCCCCGACCGCCCCGACCGCCCCCCTCACCCCCGCCGCCCCCCTCACCTCCGCCTCTACCGCCCGGCTCGGACACTCCACTGACAGCACTGCTGGCCTTTGCTGCGGCAGCCCAGGTGAGAGGGTTTCCCACCATGGAGCCCTGAAGTAGTGTACTACTTTAGGAATCGTTCTGGGTGCTCGCATCGCTTGCCACCCACCCAAATGCAAGGGCATCATGTTCAATGCATCAGGAAGTAACTTCGGCTTTTCCGTACAAGTGTAGTGCTGTGTAGCGGCCCCATGTTGTAGCCATTCTTACACCTTGCCGTCTACCCTGGCAGGCGCTGTCCTATGACTACAACGCCGGGGTGCTGGTCCTGGCGGCTGCACAGCACTACGGCTGGGTGGGAACCAACGTGACGGTGACGTACAAGATGCCACCGGATGCCCCCAGGAACGCAAGCCAGCTCTCCTACCCGTCATTTACCTTGCCGTACCAAGAGCTGGCAGGTACAGTTGGCTCGTGACGCTTAAACACTAGTGCCTAGGTTCCCTACTGAACGCTTCACTAGGATGAGCATACCTACCTTCTACGTTATCTGTATACAGAAATTCCCTGTGTGCCCCATTTCTTGCTACCTGAAACTCCCGGATCGGAGGACACCCTTCATTACCTTGTGACGTGCTCGGTGTGACCCTATGAGGTGCTCCGTGCTCCCCTGTCGTTCTGGATTGCAGGAATGGACATCAACAACACAATCAGCACCTTCCTTCCACCACCTCCCAACCCGCCTGCCACTCCCGCAAACGTTGAACGCCCGCCACCGCTCGTGACCCGCCCGGCACCGCTTATGCTATCAACCGACACAATGCCGGTTCAGCCCGGGCCCTCTTCAACAGCTAGCACCGCCCCTCCCCCTCCGTCCTCCGCCGGCCGCCCTGCCTATGTGGTGCCTGTGGCAAGCTCCCTGTCAGCCTTCTTCGGGCTCCTGCTGCTGCTGTTGCTGACCCTGCTGCTTGTCAAAATGGCAGTTAGGCGGCGCCGGTACGCGGCCGCTGACAAGGCTGCCAGTGCAGCCGCTGTTGTTATAGCAGTGGCCGACAAGGGCGAAGCAAAAGACACCAGCGCTAAGTGGCCCGTCAGCCGCCTGTCAAGCGACATGACGCAGTTAGCCGCTGCAGATGCGGGAATTAAAGGGAATGAACAGGTTTGCAAGGGTACCACCAATACCAACCAAGGCAGCAGAGATGTAACCCTGATCACCTTGGGCGTCAACACCACAGAGTCCAGTGGCTTGAGCTCCTCGAGAGCTGGACGTGGCAACCCTGATGCTCGGCAGGTGCGTGAGTGAGGGGTGTTTTCCTCGTGTCTGCGGTCTGCAAGGTGCGTACAGTCTGACAGTCTGTACGCACGCACAGCCTAGCCGTACGAGTCAGGTGGGCCAAGTACACTACCGGTATTAGAAGAAAAGGCAGTCTGGGTCAGGGCCTTTTACGGGCGGCTGCTTGGGGGCAGCTCTCCCCAGATGGACACGAGGGTCTCCTACACGCGGGTCAGGTAGCTAGGTAGAACCTCGTGAGGGAAGTGGTCATAATCACTACCTCATGAACCTACTGCTAAAGCTCAGGGAGCCCTCATACTCGCAACCTCATACCTGGGGCGAGATGCCCGTGAGAAAATAACTCAGAATTCAACACCCCATCCTGAACCGCATGAATTTTCGATGATGAACTGCGGGGAAGGACGGCACTAGCGTTAGCGGGCCAGGCCATGGATTTGCCCCCATTTATCACTAGGCCCATCAAACGCCTTGTTGACATCCCTGGGCGCCGTGTACTGACATGGCCATTGGTGTAGATCGCTGTGTAGCCCAGCTGTGTATGGTTCTTTGACAGCTTTGCCCTAATTTTAGCCTAGTTGTTACCTCCCTGTCATGGGCAACAATCTAATGCGCCGCCGCTTTCCGCTGTTACTGTGGCATCGCTGGCGCCAGATGAAGCGCCTGATGCTGAACAACGTCCTGGCAGCCTCCATGGGCGCTGCTGCTGCTGAGCTGCGGAACCAGGGGGGGCAGGCAAAGGGACACGTGGGGCAGTCTACCTCGGGAAACACCGGCAGTGGCAACCAGGCTCAGGGATGTGCGGTGGAAGGAGCCACCAGCATCAGCACGTACATGCGTAGCTTGCAGGTGACTGGGGTGAACGTGTGCGCGTGGGTGGGTGGGCAGTACGTAATAGCCATCAGGCATAGATAAGGTATGAAAAGAAGTAGCGGGTACCGTGTCTTTTGCAGCCAGGAAATTACCACAGGCGTGATAGCGTATCACGTGCTTTGCACATGCTAGGCGTTTCTTGCATGCTAAACCCTGCTGCTGCTGATCGTCATTGCCTGGCACCTGTACTGCAGGCCTATTACAATGGCCTTGGCAAGCAGGCCGAGTTCAACACTCGTGCAAACAAAGGTGCTGGGGTTCAGGACGTGCAGCAGCAACCGGCTCTGGGGGCCGCTGAGGCTGGGCTTCAGTCGGATCTGCCCTGCGCACATTCCAGCAGGGATTCCCCGACACCAGGTTCGCCCAGGTCAATGCGAGCGGCAATTGATGCAGCCAAGGTAAAGGAGCTGAAGTGAATGAATATGGATTGTAACTATTCGGCGAGTAATTTACCTGCACGTGTACTTGCTGAGAGTTCAACACGGTTACAGTTAAGTCACGTCTTAAAACGCCTCACGGCTGTCGGTGTGTTGCAATGACCCACTTAAGCTGCTCGCCTTGCATGTGTTCCCTACCTCATTCAGGCCGAGCTTCAGGACGAGGCCCTCGAGGTTCATTCCATTATCGCCGTAGGTGCCTTTGGTGTTGTACATGGCGGCACATGGCGGGGTCTGCCGGCGGCGATCAAGACGCTTGTGGTGCCAAATGCCAGTGAGGGGCGTGCCAGGCACCGGGCCGTGCTGGAGGCGGCCGTGTCCATGAGCCTGGCGCACCCTAACATCGTGGGTAAGCATTTGGGGTTTAGCCATGCTATAAGTAGCAGTCTCGTGACATAGAAACTTTAACTCACCGTAATTGTCACTGCTGGAACACCTAGACCGCGCTGCACCCGTGCGCCGTTCTTGTGACTGCAGCCACCTACACGTACGACATCAAGGCGCTCGTGCAGGAGCCAGGGTCCGATGGCATGGCTGCAGGGGGCTCTGCGAAGGGCGCGGCGGAAGTGTACAAGCTCTATATCGTGCAGGAGTACTGCAACGCCGGCACCCTGCAGGAGGCACTAGGCAAGGCTGGGGTGGTGTGGGAATTCGGGTTGACACTCATTTACTAGTATTGGACGGAAACTGGTCGTTTACGAGAATGTCACAAGCTATGTCATGACGCGAAGTATATATGCGAAGGGCGCGCGCCAATTAGGCCAACGGCATTACCTGTTTCCCTGTCCGTGTTCCTTTCAGAAAACGGCATGGCAGGCTGTGTTCGTGTCGGCGGGCCGGTCAAGACACTTGCACTGCGCCTCGCTCTGGACGTGGCACAGGGCATGCGGCACATCCACTGCTGCCGCATCGTGCATGGAGACCTGAAGCCAGGTACGAAAGTGCAATCACGGCCAGCTACTATGTTGTACCGCTTGTCCACAGCCACATGGTATGCTCCACATACAGTCCTTCCAGCCCCTGCTAAACATGCGTGTTGGGGTCGCTCTATGCCCTCAGACAATGTGCTTCTGGTGAGCTCACCGTCGGCGTCACGCGATAGCGAGGTGGCGGCGAGCGAGACTGCAACCGACGATGAATCAGTGTCGGGCGCTGGGCATCTGTTTGCCAAGGTGGCGGACTTTGGCCTGAGCATGTTGCTCCCCGAGGGAGCCACGCATGCCTCTCACCGTTTCCAGGGAACGCCCGCGTACATGGCGCCAGAGGTAGGCACTGATGACCAAATTGAGTGCGGTACATGATAACACATAGGGTCATACGACCGGTCGCAGGCTGCTTCCCAACACCGTAATTGCCGCCAACCGTCCCCAGGTTGCAACTGGCGGCCAGCTATCTCCTCGTGCGGACGTTTGGTCGTTCGGGTTGCTGCTGCTGGAGCTCTACTACGGCTGCACCCTGGCGGACATGAGTGCAATGCTGGCGTCAGAGCGCCCAGCAGCCGTGAAGGGTGTCGAGGGCGCTCAGACTGGAGAACTCCTCTCAAAGTTTCCCAATCTTACCAAGGTATGGGCAAGGAGGGGACCCCATGATGGATTTTGGGTGCCGACCCCTCCCGGACCCACCCACCCAACCACCCTACGGAACTTCGAAGCCCATTTTTTCGTGTTGCCGCACTCCGAATGCTTTTTCCAACAAAGCTATGGGTTGCTTTCGGCGTCCTGTTTCTGCGTATGTAAGAATATTACATGTCCAGCTTCTGCACCTACTTGGTGATGGCCATGCCATAATTACGTCATCAAGCCCTATCGACATCAAAGGGAGCATCGTCAAACACTTGCTTTCCACGCCCTATTGCGCTTAAACACTACTGCTATACCAGCACTTCCTAAGTTTCTACACCTGCTGCGGCTGGCGCGGAGACCGCTCACACCCCTCTCCCTGCTGCACCTTGTCGCAGTCAATTTTGCGCCATGTCATCAGGCCATGCCCAAAACCTTGCCAGGATAAGGCGAAACATGTTTTTTGTGTTCTTACAATGCGGGTAGCGTAAATGTGTACTCTTTAGTGCGTGTGGCAACGCAAGGAGCAAGTTAGGAAGCATTAGGAAGCATCTGAATAAGACCACCGGGCCCCCAGACCCCACCCACCCACCCTGTCGTACAGTCACGTTTAAAGCGCAGATAACATTTGCCGTACGACTCCAAACCAAAACCTAAAATCAGATTTAGAATCCTCTCTCCGAATCCTTTGGGATTAATTAATGGGGTCGGTTCCTGGTATGCCTACCTCCCCATTTTGTACTGCATTAATGGCATCTTGCCAACGATGTCTGCTGGCTGCTTCCGACTCATGAGCTGCTCACCACCCGTCACGTCTGCAGCCTCGCCTCTATTCTGCTTTCCCTTGGCCGCCCTCGTACTTCAATGGTCACCCATGAATCTCACCCACCAAATTTCTTCGTGTCTTGTGCTCTTGTGCCCCACTCCCCCCCCTCCTTCCCTACAGGACATGCTCACCTCCGGCCACCGGCCGTACGGAGAGCTGGCAGCTGCATGCCTGACCCCGGATCCCCGGGGGCGCCCTGCTTTCAACGACATTGTGGAGCAGCTGCGGCAGATGCTTTAAAGCGGCGGAGAATACACATGCATCCTATGGAATAGCGTTACTACAAGCTGTATGGTCCAGCCAATGACTGGTTCTCGGGGCTCTGGACGTGTGGACTTAGTAATGAGTGGGGACTGTGGTGGGAGGCAGGCGGGAGTTGCGGCAGAGTGACTGGCTGTCAGGGGTACGACCAGCGTCGTTAAGGCCAGCAGCCAGGGCTTGCTTGGCCACCAGCAGCTTTGCGCCAACCATGCGCCATCCTAGCGCGCGAAGAATTCGTTTGTTGTCCGGCTGTAAAGCCATCCAAGGGCATCGCCCGCTGGTCGAAGCCAATTGGTGTGTGAAGAATTGCATCTAGCTTTGTGGTGAAACGTAGGGTATACCCAACCCCTCGTAGATCGTCTTGAACATTCTGCCGGGGGCCTAGCACTGCTCTTGGCGAATCTACGCTGGGTGTTAGCGTGTTGCTGCTATTTGTGCGGTGCAATCTGTTGCCGGTCTTTCAGCTTGTTCCCAGGGCTGGGGCTAATAAGGACTTAAAATGCGCAACGTTTCGTGGTTAGTTGCGCTACGTATTTTGCGACTTTATTATTCAGGCAGTCTCTTATGCTTATGCTACTGTGCTGCGTTTGTAAGGGTTGCTTTTACTTTCCTCGATTGCTAGTATTGCCGTGATCGTGATGGCGGGGAACGGCTTCGACTTGCGTCGTAACTTTGGGGTTTCCGTCTCCTGTACGGAAGCGCTCATGGCGGCTATTCGAAATAGGGGTCATGCGTGCGCGTTAATACTCGTAGGGCTTTGTTTACATGGGGGTATGTGTGACAATCGCTGGATTATTCACGGCAGTTGCAACACATAGTGCGCTGCTATCAATGGTCTTGCGTATGCGTGGTCAAAACGCAGCAGTGAAGGGCGGTAGCATTGTGGTCTACACAGCTGGGGGACCAGTTTGATAAGGGAGTTCATGATAGCGGCGGCCTAGTCACCTCTTTGTGGTGTCTTTGTTCCGGCCTTGTTGCTTTGTTCACCTGTCAATGTGCACGTTTTCTAGAGTCGGTCAACACTGGTTTCCCCAGTCCCCACTATGGGTCGTACTCGCTCAAGCGGGTTTGCTTCCTTAACTTACAAACTGTTACGCGGACGCCTGTTCGGAAAGGTATTCATGGGATCCATTCCCTTTTCCATAGAGGAGTACCAGTTTTCGGTTCTCCATCCCATTTACGAGGCGATTCTCAAATTCTGCTTCCTTTATTTTACTGGTACGGCTACGTGTGATGTTCCTTAGTTCTGGTCCTTTGTTAACCTGCCTAAAATGTCGTCTCGGTGCTGTAGAATAATCTTTATCAAGGTGGGCGGGATCCGCTTTAGGGTCCCTTGCCTTGCATGGGTACTTGGATAGGGAGGGAGGCTGTGGCTGCGATGAGGGAGGCGGTGCGATGCGATGGTCGGTGGCGAGTGCACGTAACGATGGCCTTCCAATACTGGTTGCATTGTCCGTGCCTAGCCAGGTCGTGTGTAGGAAGGGCGGGTTTAGGGTTGCGTCCGAGTTGTGTTCGAACTGAGTAGCACTTGTGCATTGTAGCTGACGTGTGTGCACCAACATGTGTTCTGGCAGTATTGCTCTGTCCTCGCGGCTTTGCAGGAAGTCCCTTGCAGGCTGCTGGTCAGACAGGCACTCGCCGCTGGTGTCCGTCCATGTTAATTGCCCTTAACTTGTAAGCGCTGTACTGTCTGGGTGCAAGACATGGTATGCGCAGGGTAAGGGAAATGCAAGGGGCCGGTTGCTGCACGTACAGTGGCCACCTGTTTGCCTGCTGAAGCCCAGCTCATGCGCAGCAAGCGCACTCTTAACCCGAGTTGTAGCACGTGTGTCATGCCATAGCACACGGTCAAGCACCGCTTATAAAGACCTAGCTTTGTGTAACCAAACCCAGATAAAGCCTCGCCCCTCCTTAAAGCCCCACCGGGGGCTTCAGCAGGGAAGAGGGGTAGAAGCCATTAGCCTAGGTGTGGCCGGCACTATCAGAAAAGACCTCCATAGGATGCCAGTCGCGGTAGGGGTCGCACGCAGCCATGCTGCGAGGTGCTGTGAAGGTCCACTCAGCCCGGGTTGCTGCCTCCTTCAGCCGAAGCTAGCACCGCCCCTCCCTCTCCCTCCTCCGCCGGCCGCCCTGCCTATATGGTGCCTGTGGCAAGCTCCCTGTCCGCCTTCTTCGGGCTCCTGCTGCTGCTGTTGCTGACCCTGCTGCTTGTCAAAATGGCAGTTAGGCGGCGCCGGTACGCTGCTGCTGATGAGGCTGTGCTGGTGCCGGCCGGTACAGACGGGGCTGACGAAATAAGCGCTAAACCGCTCGTTAGCTGCCTGTCACGCGACCTGACGCAATTTGCTGGCGTGGCTGGCGTGGCGCAGTTGGCAGCAGCAGATGTGTTGGTTAGGGGGAAAGCCGCAGGTGCCAAGGATTCCAGCCAAGGCAGCAGAGATGCGACATTGAATGCGTCAGTCACAACAGAGTCCTCCGGCAAGATGGAGAGCAATTCATGCAGCCCGCAGGGAACTGGATCTGCTGGCGAACATGACACCCGTACCTAGTCATTGCGTGACACCTGTACTGCAGGTCTACTACAACGGCCATTGCAAGCAGGCAGAGTTAAGCACTCGGACAGCGAAGGCCGTTGGGACTCGGGACGTGGAGGCAGCTGAGGTTCGGCCGAATAGTTCCCCCGCTCACTCCAGCAGGAACCCAGCAGCACCCGTTGCACCCGGGACTATATATGCGTGCGGCAATAGATGCAGCAAGGGTAAGGACGCTGGATTGTACGGAATTAGGGTGTGATGAGTACCAAACAACACACCTAATAGAGGAAGACAACCGCAATTGTACTTGGATGACGGAGGACGGCAAGTGGATGGAGGAGGGAGATGCAGCAAGGGTAAGGACGCTGGATTGTACGGAATTGGGGTGTGATGAGTACCAAACAACACACCTAATAGAGGAAGACAACCGCAATTGTACTTGGATGACGGAGGACGGCAAGTGGATGGAGGAGGGAGTTCACGTGACCCTGGGCGGCAATGCGCTTTGACCGTTACACCGTTCGACTGTCCACAAGAGGTGTTTTGCAGGCTGCCGTAGATATCACTGCACTGGTTTCAGTTTCGCACTTCCGGGCGTGTATGAGGACAAATTACTGACCAAGGAAGGATTACACTAAGGGTTTGCTAAGGCTTGTGGGTATTGTGACGCCCGGTCCATGTCTCAGCAGAGGCCGCAATTGCATTTCGCACGGCCCTTGGAGGTACTGGTTGGCTTTCGAGGCGACAAGCTCTAATCCCCAATGCAAACTTTAGTAGGATCCCTTTCCGGGCTTTGCTCACACCACGCATAGAGTTACACGCCACACATACACAGAGCCAGATCACAGTACCAATCCAACGATCGCACGGCATACTGTTAGAGGCGCTGTGAACTGCACTGCACGAACACCGGTCATAGCTTCGCTCTGTATTTTGTCGGCCATGCGGCATTGTGGCGAACCTCACCGTCCGGAACGGTCAAGATCTAAGGAAATCTGAGGAAACCAGTTGGCAACAAATTATCCGTGATAATAACCGTGTTGTATATAGTTGGAGTGGAACTGCTGATGGCCATTCATCCGTACACCATGTTTAATCGTCGGCTTTCCGATGCAACGAAATGGATATCAACCGTAAACGCTTCTTTTAAATATACTTCCGGGATCTCGACAAGGCCACTTTAGGGGGCTGACACGGTTCAGCTACGTGCAAGCGTGCAAGTAATCCTTCAGCTGTTTCCTGCAACTGCAAGTTTCACAAGCTATCGGCTTACATCCTTGCCAATTGAACGCTCGCCGGCAGCAATGCAGCGTATATCCACCTTGGGTCGTGCCCTACATTGTCCAGCCACGCATAGCCCAGTTATCTCCCGTCCAACAATTGCGCCCGGAGTTCAATTGCATCGCCCTGTCGGGCTCCGGTGTTCCGCTGCGGAGGTGTCGACGCCGGCCACGGTCGCTGATGCTGAGACGCAAGCCCCGAAGGTCCTCCAACCTGCTGGGTCGACCAAGCCCCAAAACAACACAAAGAAGGACCAGCAATTCAGGACGCCTCCCAACGGACAAGGCCGTAAGGGCTCGAGCGGCAAGGATTCCCGTGGTGCTAGCAATGCGCAGTCCGGCGGAGATCGCGCAATCATCCAGCAGCGATGCCGGCTGCTAATGGAGGGAGAGGCTGTCGGGCTGGCCATGGCTCCAACGCCGGAGGATCTGGCGGTTGGATTCAAGGGCCTGCGTCCCCTGTCTCAGGAGCTCCGCCGCAGGGACCGCACGCTTCTGTTCTTCGCCTCCAACCAGAAGGCTCCCGAGGCTTCCGCAGACGAGCCCTCGTCTCCCGACGCACCTAGACAGCGCACAGACCGGCGGCAAGAGCAGCCACAGCAGCAGCAGATGTTGGAACTGGCGCTGGTGGCTGTGCCGCGCTTCACGCCGCCCCAACCCGAGGTCATCATCCGAGTGGGAGCCAGGTAGAGGGCTTGAACCTTGAAGAGCTTATCGTACGAGTACGGAAAGCCGTGGATGGCTAGCAAGACGGCGGCCACATACACGGCCAGTTTCCTTCACACACGCACCTCTTCCCCTGCTTCCCCTAACTGTTTATTGCCTCGCCCGCCTTACCACCCTTTCGCGCTCAACTCCGCAATCCCCCTCTCCTCCTGTACCTCCGCAATCCCCTCTCCTCCTGTACCTTCTCCAACCCCTTCCTCCGCCCCGCCCCTGCCGTCAGGTCCGATGCCGCCACCATATCTCGCATACTCACCCGCGCCGCGGTGCGCTCGGGTGCCGTGGCGCTGCGAGCCGCCGGCCCCGCTGCGGCGCTGGTGGCGCTGCGGGCGGCGGTGCTGTCGCGGCGAGCTCTGGCGGCGGAGCGGCAGCTGGACCTGGCGTTTAGCATTGAGTACCTGCGACTGCCGGCTTACGGTGGGGGGGGGGTAAATTATGGAGTAGACGGAAGCACAGGAGTAGAGGTGCATGCGTGTGCCCAAATGCGCGCACATCCCTACGTCCACGTTTTCGCCTGCCTTGCTGGCTCCTCCCCTGCCCCTGGGCCCGCCCTGCCCCGCCCCGCTCCCCTGCCCTGCAACGCCGCTATGGGTACCACCACAGGGCCGTACGCGCTTGCCCCTTAGCCTGCGGCTGCCCCTTTGCCTCCGGTAACCTGCATGGTTGCCACCTGCGGATTGCAGAAGCAAGCAATGTGGACACGGCTGAGGTGATGCAGGACGGCAAGACGGTCTCGGAGCTGCAGCCCTCAGAGCCCTTGGAGGCTGGCACCAGCCCTGCTGCTGATACCGCCGCTACCACCACCGCTGCTGCTGCTGCTGAGAAGGAGAAGGAGGAGGAGGAGGAGGACGGTCAGGAGGCGGCTGCTGCTGCTGCTGCGGCGGCGGCGGCGGGCGGGCGAGTGACCAAGTCGTTCGCTTCCATCCTGCAGTTCAGCTTCTACAAACGCGAGCTGCCCACGCCCCAGGTGGTGGTGGCGGATTTTGCGCCCGAGGTGGGTGTACGACGGCGGCTGCAGACGCAGCAGGAGGAGAGGAGGGGTTTAAAGAAGATACACCTGATGGACTGATTGACCCACTAGGTGGGTGGTTGGGCTGATGCAGCGCGCACGTGGGGTGGTGAGCGTGCTGGGAGTACGGCTTGCAGAGGCACGGCACACCTCCCTGCCCTCCTTCCTACCCCCCTCCCCTCCCTCCCCCTCCCCGCCAGCGCGCCTCCTCCGCCCTGGTGGAGCTGCTCACCTCGCTGCTGGGCGAGCGGCGGGAGGTGGAGGTGGTGGTGGGCAGCCGGGAGGTGCTGTTCGCCATGCAGGCGGTGGCGCGGGTGGTGCGGAAGAGCTGGGCGCGCTACTCGGGTGGGCGCCGGGGGGTGGGGGGAAGAGGGTGGGCCCGGGGGGGGGGAAGGCTATTGCCTTCTGGGTGGCGAGAACCCTGGGTAGGAGAGCGCATGTGGCGCCCTTTTTGTCATCCCACCGCGACGTCTGTGTATCGCATCACCATAGAACCGCCTGCTGGCTGGGCTGCTGGGTGCTTTGTCTGCTTCCCCTTGACCTCCTCTCCCCTTTTGCTTCGCTTACCCACCACCCGTCCCGACAACGCTCCGCAGCTCCTCCTCCCCCGTTCCCTGCTCCGTATGCGTTGACTGGGTGAATCGGAATATGGGATTGCAACTTACCTTGCTTTACTTTTCATTTAGTTTTCCCCGCTCCACCCTCCCCTACCCGCTCTCTTGCCCCTCTCCCCCCCGCAGCCAGCGTCGCGGCCTTCCTCGTCGCAATGGAGCCGGAGGGGGGGCAGCAGCAGGCCAAACAGGAGCGGCAGGGAAGCGGCAGCCACCGCCACCGCCACAACAGGTACAACAGAACCAGCAGAAACACCAGCAGCAGCAGCAGCAGCAGGGACCACGACAGCAACAGCAGCAGCGGCAGGGACGCCTACCCCGAATACACGGCCCGATTGGTGTTGCGGCGCCTGGCGGGGGCGCCCAACCTGGTGCCCACACGCGACAGCAACAGCTTCAGCAGCAACTACAACAACTTCAATTACAGGGCCTATTACAACAGGAGCGGTAGTGGCAGTGGCAGTGGCAGAGGCGGCGAGGTTGAGGAGGAGGAGGAGGAGCAGCCGCAGACGCTGTTGGGCGCGCCGCTGGGGTTCGTGAAGGCGGACTCGCCGCTGGGGCCGCTGACGGCGGCAATGAACCGGGAGGTACGTGGAAGGGGAAGGGGTGGAGGGGGGAAGCCGAGAAGGGCTGTTTTCAACTGAGCTGAGTTGGGGGCTTAGGTCGGGGGCTGGGTGGGAGGTTGGGTAGGGTAGTATATGGCGGTAAACTGAGGGGCCGCAGGCCGGGTATGGGTACGGGGCCGGGTGCGGGTAGTGGTTTACCTCGCATAGTCGCGTTGCTTCTTACGCAACCTTACCTTTTGTTTCCCGCGTTTGGCACCTTTTGCCTCTGGCTTCCCAACACCCCCCCCCAACCCGCAGTTCGACGCTGTTGGCTGGTACAGCGTGCTCCCCTCGGACGGCAACTGCACAGCCCGCGCGCTGTGGGCGCTGTGGGAGGCGCAGCAGCAGCGGGCGGCAGCCAAGGAAGAGGCAGCGGCGGCAGCGGCAGGTGCTGCTGCAAACGACACCGAGGCGTCCGCCGAAGGCGACACGGCCGCCGCCGCATCCCCAGCCTCTGAGGAGGCTGCTGCTACTGCCGGTGCTACTACTGCCGATGCTGATGCTACCGGTGCTACTGCCGCAACTGCCGCAACTGCGACTCCCGCTGCTCCCACCGTTGAGATCGCCATCGTGCCGGAGTTTCAGCCCGTGAGCGACCGACCCACGGGTCCCTCCTGGGCCACCGTGCTGCACCTGCTGGAGCTCAGTCCGCTGCTGTTCCGTACACTCCGCATCCGGGAGCAGATGCTGTGGCAGGACGGGCGGCGCGAGGAGCTGCTGCAGATCACCAAGGCGGTGCTGCTCCGGAACAAGATGCACGGCAACCGGAAGGGAGGTACGTGCATGCGGAGGGGGTGGCAAGGAAGAGAAGTGACGGGGCAAGTAAGAAGCTGTGTGATAAGGCTTCGCCATGGAGTGCAAACATGGTGGCCGGTCGGTGGGGGTATCAAAGACCACATACCAAACCACGGGTTAGGGCAAAGCAATGGGGATCGGGGAGGGGGGTGTCGGGCTGGCTGGGGGTGGGTTACTGCGTGCTATGTTTTCAGCTGTGATTGTCCTTTTAGCGGCCGCATGGTTCATGCGCCTTTCTTCGCCCATGGAGCCGACATTTATTTGCCACTCAGAAGAAGCAACTATCACGCACATGTACGAGGGTAGCCCCCTTAGCCCCACTCGCCCCGCCCTCACCCCCCATTCGCCCCGCCCTCACCCCCCACTCGCCCCGCCCTCACCCCCCACTCGCCCCGCCCTCACCCCCCACTCGCCCCGCCCAAACCCCCCACTCGCCCCGCCCTCACCCCCCACTCGCCCCGCCCCCACCCCCCACTCGCCCCGCCCCCACCCCCCACTCGCCCCGCCCTCACCCCCCACTCGCCCCGCCCTCACCCCCCACTCGCCCCGCCCTCACCCCCCACTCGCCCCGCCCTCACCCCCCACTCGCCCCTCCCGCCTGCAGGCAAGCTGCTGGTGATGACCCCCCGGCTGGATCCCCAGGGGGCGCTGCAGCTGCAGCTGGAGTACGTGGAATCCGCACTGGTGGGGGGCCTGCCGGAGCCGCCCAGGAGGGAGGGAGCCGGACCTGATTCCAAGTCCGCTCCCGACCCGGACAACGGCAGCAGCCGCTACGGCAGCAGGAACAGCGGCCGAGGTTCGGAGGGTGGCCGCAGCGCGGCGGAATGGCGTGGCAGCAGCAGCAGCAGCAGCCGTCGGGAGGCAAGTGAGGCGGACGATGCGTTTGCGGGTTACGCCACGGACGATGAGTACGGCGTGGGGGCGGAGGCGGCGGTGTTGCTTCCGCCGGGCATGATGAGGGCTGCTCGGGAGGAGGAGGAGGAGGAGAAGCCGGAGCGGAGGGCTGGAGGACGAGGATCAGGAGGAGAGGTGTCGCCGGCTGCTGGCAAGTCAGCTTGGTTGCTGTCTCTGGATGCGGAAACGACCAGTTTGGATCTGGCCATGTCCATTGTCGGTAAGAGTAGAGCAGGGGGCCCGGGGGGGGATGTGGGCGGAACCGGGTAGGGTGTCCTGGGGTGCTTGGCGGTGTACAGCATGGGAGCCAGGGGTCTGAAGTCCAGCCACGGGGCTGCATGCGCCTAGCGGGTCACGCAGCTTGCGGCTAAGCTAAGCTAATGTGAGTCGGGTTGGGCGGGTTTGACGTGTGTCCCGCGGATTACTCCGAATATGATTACCCTATCCATAACCGGCTTTCCTTGCCTCCTCACCTTCCCCTCACCGCCCCTCGCAGCCGAGACCTGCAAGCCCTGGGACCGGCTGAGCCCCGCCTGGCTGCTGCTGACGCCGCGGCCGCACCACGTCGCCACCGCCGCCCTGGCAGTGGCCATGGCTCAGCCGCAGGTGCAGGAGCGCGCGCGTGTGGGGCTGCACGTGCTGCCCACCATAGAGCGCCGCCGGGACGTCCGCAATCGGCCGTATAACCTGCTGGTAATGAAGCTCATCAAGTTCGGGCCGGGGGCGGAGCCGGGGGCGGCGGCGGAGGCGGTGGGAGGGGAGCAGCAGCGGCAGGGCGGCAGGCGCAGGGCGGAGGAGAGGTGGGCTGTTGATGATGAGGGGCATACGGGGTGTGGTGTAGCGGTGTAGGGCGGTCATAAGGGAGCTGGCATCCGCCTGGCCTGCATCCGCCTGGCTATCCTGGGTCTACCCGGCTTGTTGGTTGTGGTCATCGACTTACCGTCCTGGTTTTGTCACGGTAATCAGTATTACGGATACCTCATTGATCCGCAACTGTGCAACTGTTTTGTCTCACTGGTCCCACCGCGCTCGCAGGGAGGTTGGTCCCTCACCGGCAGCCATGGCTGCAGCGGCGGCGGCGGCAGCCCGGGCGACGGCCGGAGGAGAGGCGAGGCTGGGTGGCGCCCGCAGACTGTGGTAGAGGGAAGGGCGGGAGACTGTGGTAGAGGGAAGGGAGGGAGACGGTGGTAGAGGTGAGGTGAGGGAGGAGGGAGGGAGGGAGGAGGGAGGGTAGCGCTATGAGGGCTTCATGGGGTCCCCATGGCCCAGGGAGGTGCTGCAGGGTCGAAGAGGTGCCTTTGCTGAACACCTTCACCACAGACAAATCTGATCCGGTCCTCGCCGCCATTTGCGCATCTACGGCTGCTGCTCCGTCGGGGCAGGCTGGCAGCGGTGGCAAGAGCGGGGGTTGCCGGGGGTGGCTGTGTCGCGCCCCGTTATAGGGTAGGTCGGCGCAGCTGGCGCAGCAGCCGCTGTAAGGGCGGTTTTTTGTGAAGCCAGGGAAGGGAAGGCAGTGGAGGAGCCTTGAGCACTGGTTTGGACGTGGGGGGTTAGTGGGTGTTGCTTAACCTTTAGGTTTAGTGAATGGCCAACCAATGAGAGACATGCGATTTTTTTTTGTCTTTGCAAGATGGAGTGCCAGGTGGTTATAACAGCTTGGTGAGGGCGAGGGTGGTTAGCTTGCTAGCGGTATGAGGGTATGGCCTAATTAGGCCAGCATACAATTTCAAATGCGCGAGATGCATGCAGGGCTAGAAATGTGCCGCGGTGTTAAATCTAAGCCTTCGACCGCCTTCGTAACGTATCGCACGGGAGCCTGCTGGAGTGAGGGAGAATGTTGCACTTCTCCAACCTTTTTTCCTTTTTGGAATGTCTGAAAGCGAGAGGGTCCTGTTCGTTTGCTGTTGAGCACCATCACACTTTTTTCCAGTATGCAGGTTGGGTCGTACAACGGTTTGTGGCGGCCGGCTAGTGACAAGCTGCAGTTATGCCTTGTATGTGCGATTTCTGGGATTGCTTATCAGCTCCCCTTGGGAGTTGGTTTTCGCGGTGCGCACGGTCCGCATGGGCGATGGGGATCACTACCTTTCCTGGTTTGCAGATGGGGGCGCTGAGAATGGCGTACGACATTTGGGTGCGGTAGTTCTTCCCGCTCCCAGGAAGGCATCTAACTTGAAGGGCTGTCATTACTTTGAACACTAGGACATCAACAGCGTGTGTTGGTTCAGGGCCATGATTGTAACAACAACAACAACAACAACAACAACAACAGTCCTATCTCTGTAAGTAATCCACATCGGAAAACACACGTGTCATAACACTGTCGCCTGATGATATCCTTGCCTTCCCATGACATGACGCTTAAGGAACGGGTGGGAGGTGCGAGTTATGCAGCGATGACGGGTCATATAATGTAAAGGCGAGTTGTGTGTATGACTGTGTATGTGTGTGTGTCAGAAGGAATGGCGTGTAACCAAAAATGACCCCTCCACTCCTACCTTTGACACGGCGCGGCTCCCCGCCATGGGGAAGTGCTCCTGCTGGGATGCACATCGAACCCCACGCCCCTTAAAGCCCCCACCCAGGGCAATAGGAGCGCTGCCTAAAAGGAGATCACATGGGCCTGAGAGGCGGGTTTACATGCGTGGGGGTTGGTTTGGGCGGGGCGCTGAACTTCTCACACTTTCCCAGGGCCATGGGCTGGGGAGAATCAATACGTACGAACTTGGTGACTCATAGAATCGTTAGCGACATGTTTGTTTCTTATGAAATTGCATAGTTATGTCGGCAACCTTACAGGGATAGGCGGTTGGAGCGTTCGGCCTCTTCGGCTCTCGCAGTTGCAAACGGAACTTTGGCTATCAGGGGATCGTTCACAACGTTCAAACAACTCAGTTGCTTGTCGTTGACCAATTGACAAGGCTAGCTACTACCGGTATTGAAGGGTTGCATAGGATAGTGCCGCGCATGTGCGGCTCTTTGCAGCAGCTCCGTTTGACGTCGGGCAGAGAATGCTCGACGTCTTACTCTCATTGTTATAGGCCATTCCCAACTTCGTTACGGAGATCGAGCCGGCGAGGGCGGAGTAATCAACGAGGGGGATTAGCAATTTCCTCCAGTAACGATGCCGCAGCGTTGTATCCATCAAATGATGATGGGATGGCTGGATCTTCAAAGCCGGATGTCGAAGCTCCTGTGGTAGAGAGCATAAGCACAGCGCATTCGGAGCAGCCCAAGGACCAACCCACGGCAAGTTTGCCGGGAAATGCTCGATCACCACTGCCGCATATGGCGTAATGAAATAGGGAAGGATTGTCGAAATCGTGGCTGGCTTGTAGTTCCGTAGCCCTGGAGGGCTAGCGGGAGGCTGTGTCTGAAGGAGACCCCTCCTACCATCCCTGCAGGACGGCCTACCTAAGGTTCCATGGGGGCTTGGCAAGGTGTTCCAGGTGCGTCTTCTCTTGAGGTTGCTGCTTTCGCTAGCCCATGCCCTCATACACCAGCCCTCTCCACCGCCTGGACGTGTTAGGGGTATGCAGCCCTAACTCATGAGAAGTGACCACACCCATCTACCTCTTTCATGCTCCGCTCTCTATACCTCAGAACCTCACCCAACCTGTACCTTACACCATCGCTGTCCATCCACCCCGCTCCTTTCCCACGCCTGCGCAACATGCCTAGACACCAAAACTGTTTTTTCTGCCGTCCCTGCTCTCGCTGCTCCACCTCCCCTCTTCCCACTAACGTGGGGATAGCTACCACTTACCGTATCATTACCACCATCATTCAAGCTTCCCGGTACGCCCCCTGCCTTTCCCCTCCCCGCTCTCCCCTCCTAGGTGATGGCCCTCTGGCTGCTTGCCTACATCCTCATCGGCCAGGTGGCCGTACCGCTGGTGCTCAGCCTTCTGGGCCTCGACCGCCCCGAGCTCAGCGTGCGCAGCCACGCTGTGCTGCACCTCTGCCTCGACATCTCGCAGCTGCTGCTCACGCTGGGCATCCTGTGGTCCTGCCTCAAGGACTACCAGCCGCGCAAGCTGGGGCTGTTCCCGGTGCGCCTGCGCGGGCGCTGGATACTGGCGGTGGCGCTGTGCTGCGCGACCTTTCCTGCGGTGGACTGGCTGGCGCATCAGAGCATGGGCTGGTTTCCCTCGGAGCTGGACGCCACGTGGGCGAGCAACCTGGAGCACTCGCTGTCGATCGGGGACTGGGTGACGAATGTGGCGTATTTTAGCGTGGTGTCGCTGTGTGCGCCGATCTGGGAGGAGGCGATATTCCGCGGGTTCCTGATGACGTCGCTGGCGCGGTACATGCCGACGCCGTACGCGGTGGCGGCCAGCTCGGTGGTGTTTGCCATGTGCCATTTCCGCATGCAGACGTTCCTGCCGCTGCTGGTGTTGGGTGTGGTGTTCTCGCTGGTGTTCATCCGCACCAACAATCTCATCCCGCCGGTGCTGCTGCACAGCGCGTGGAACATGTATGTGCTGGTTAGCCTGGTGTTGAGGCCGGGGTAGCGGTGAGGGGGGCGCGCCCATTGGGCGAGGTGGTGGTGTGGGTGAATGGGCGCTTGGGGCCGTGCTACCGTTTTGGTGGTGTGGGTTGTTTTAAGGTGGGTGGTCAGATGAACCGTGTGTTCGTCGACTGGCCGACTGTGTCAACTGTAGCCATATTCTTTTAACGCGAACTGATGAAACCTGTCAGTGAGCCGTACCTGGTCAAGGCTTTTAAGCATGCGACTGTTTTAGGGAACCTGAGGAGATGCCTTGCCCAACTTGTGGGCAAGAGGGGTCGAGCAGGCATGTATCATACGCTCCTTGCTTACATGCGGATAAAATGAAATTGGGAATGTCGATGCGCTGATGGACGTGCAACGGACCAATAGGGAGGTCCTGCAATGGGTCATTCGTGGCTCTGCAAAACCCTCGAGCCGCTTGGTAATTAAGCAGCACAATAAGCGCATAACCATTGGCTCATGATGGAGTGCAGTACTTAGCACGCATGACCCGCACAGCCGATAAAGCGCAGCCAGCGAAATAGCATCACCCTAGCCAATCAAACCAGCCACCAAACCACACCGCTTCACTAACGCTCTCTTCCCTGAAAGCATGAATGCACTACACTCAATGCCCGACCCCAAGGCCCAACTACGCGTCCTCCGATCAACCGAAGAATGAAACCACAATGAATGCTTCCTGCGAGTACCTTGCAATCCAAACACTCGAAAGGAGGGAGCAACCCTCGCACAGCTCCCACCCCTGCCACCTCCGCATAAGCCCCCGGTGCTCACGGGGAGCGGCTGCGGGAGCGCTCCCTCACAGGCGGGGACAGCTCGCGGACGGGCGACCTCCGGGGCGGGGACAGCGACCGCTCCCGGATGGGGCTGGGGCTGCGGGGCCGGCGCTCGACGACCGGGCTAATGCGACGGGGCGGCGACCTGCAGGCAAACGGCCATAAAAGATGGAATGAGTCACGAACAAACACTGCAAGAGAAAACCAAGTCGACCATATAAAACAGGCCCGACAATGCCAAGCTATATGCAAAATTACAAGAGCATGGAGCGATTTCCGTCCGGAAAGCGCGTCCTCTATAGGAACTATTTGCATTGTGGCCAGGCCTGAAGGCGTAGGACAGCGACCACGATAGAATGCGGCTTACCGGCGGGGCGGGCTGGGGCTCCGGCGGCGGATGGGGCTTGGCGACCGGCGGCGGGGCGGGCTGGGCGACCGGCGACGGGGCGGACTGGGGCTGCGTCGCCGAGGCGGGCTGGCCCGCCGGTAGGGGCTAGGCGACCGGCGGCGGGGCGGGCTGCAAGGGCAATGGATGAGAAAGAAACCTCAGCTTTCTTCATATACCTTGTAAGCGAGGAAAACCAACTGCTAATTACAAGCGTACGGCGGGCCTTAAGACCAGCAGCCTACTGATGGAAAAAAAGCCCAGCCCGGCCCACCTTCGTCGGTAGTCATCATAGCGGTCGACCGGCGGCGGAGGGCCGCCACGGAAGCCGCCGCCAGGCCGAGGAGGGGGACCACGGTTCCGCGAGATCTCGACACGCTGCAGCAGAACAGGGACGTTGGCGATCTTGGCGTTATTTTTCGTGCAAGGCAGGGAAAACCACTATAAGGATATGTTCAGGAAGGCTTCACAGAAATTCACAGAATTACGGCCACCATGTATACCAGTGTACAACGCCTTCCCCTGCCCCGAATGCGCTCACTGCATGAGTCGGGATGTGGTATTGGGACTCGTTGTTTCACTTATATAACTTTTTCCCCTGCCCGGGCCAACTCTACCGCAACCTACCCATCCTTTCAAGCCGTCCAGGGCCCGCACAGCGTCCTCAGCGTCCCGTAGATCGTCCATCTCGATGAAGGCTGGGCGTACATGCAGTGTTGTCATGGGGTCAATGGGAAGGGCGAAGATGAAAGACCAAAGGGCCTTGCAACTCACGGCCATGCACTTGAGCCACTCATGTGCCTGCACTGCTACGTGCTCAAGTGTACGAGTCCGGATATCCCAATTCTAGGCTAGAAGCCGCCATAGCGCTTCCACAAGAGACATCCCTGCTCACTGCAGCATATGTAATCTGGGCCCTGGAAGTGCCGAGGCGATGGTGGAAGTGGGCGAGATGGCGGTGTGATGTGGAGATGCAGATGGCGGGGCGACGCAGGTGTGGTGAAGGTGCAGGAGGCGGGGGTGGGGAGGTGAAGGTGCATGGGGAGGTGCCGCAAGATGAGCCGGCGCTATGGCGGGCGATGAAGGATTGCAGAGTGGTTGGCATGGGGGCGATGGTAGGTAACTAATGGGGCGAAGGCGGCGAGACGGGGTTGTGTGACGGCGAAGACAAGTGGTACAGATCAGGCCGGTTTAACGCCTGCAGATTCATGAGGCGAGTTGGCAGCTTGCGCGCTGGTCTGCCAGACACAATGACTTCAACAGCAACGCGGCATCATCCCGTCAAATAAAAGCAAACCTCGAGCTAAAAGCCGTTAGGTTGGAGTCCCCACATCCTCCTTACCAAATCCTGCAATGTCATGTAGAAAAGGCAAGTAAGACTTGAGTCGCTTACCGGTACACAAGACAGCAGGCCGGACCAACCTGGCGGTTTTCGAGCAACCCATACGTTCCGAAGCCGTCCGAACCTCACGAACTCCGCCTCAAGCTCCTCTTCTCGGATACCCGAGGGCAAATTGCCTTGGGAAGATGAAGAGGACAAGCCGTCAGCGTCTAAGCGATAGCTAACTTAGCATGATGACCTATTTTGACTGTACCCACCTATATACACGCGCGCCATTCCAAAGCTTTGGAAAAGGCTGAAACAAGCAGAATCAAGGAGAAACTTCTGTCCCGGTAAGACGGCTGCCTGATGTAACGCCTTGCGCCTAGAAACCAAAGTATATGGAAAGAATGATTATGAAAGCCGTCGCACAGCTCGTCAGCTCAGCTATTTATGCACGGCAGGATCGGCGCACGGCACCAGCGTTGTACAGAGGCGCTTTACCACTTCAACTTTAACATTGGATATCCAAATAAAGGAACTGGGTATTACAGGCACATTCCAACCCACCGGCTGCCAGGCATGCCCGGCGAAAATCCCAACCTGCGAGAGGATGTCCCTCTAAGTGCTGAGCAGCTTGCATCTGAGCTACATAAATTTGAAGAGTACCGCAAGAGGATTGTTGGCGACATAGAGAGCCTGGAGGCTCGGCAGCAGCGGCTTAAGGAGGAAACGGATGAGTATGGGCAACTCCTAGACAACGTGGACAAGCTTATTGCGGTGAGGGGAAGCACCGACGGGCCGGGGAGACTAGCGCGGGCGATGTGGTTGGGTTGGAACAGCCGTAAAACACATTGCCCATGGGAAGGCTTCCGCTTCCTTTGCGTGGGGCCAGTGGGTACTTACGGATCCCGTCAAGTTCGCCAATGCTGGCGACAAGAAGAGATCTGCAGAGTGCACGTCTGCTTTGGACACGAATTAGAATTCCTAATACCTGGCAGCTCCCGCCCGAAGTAGATACGTACCCCAAATCATCTGCCTCCGTTGGAGGGCGACAGGTAAATCCAGATCCCCTAGACTGGGTGTGTGGCATTAACTATAACCCACTTGCACAACCCCAGGCGGATCACGGAGGCACCGCCTGAAGCCCCACCTTAGCTTCCTTAACTAACCCTAAATCCCAACGCCCCCCCCCCCTCAGGACGGCACGACGTCTTTTGAAACGCGTGTTGACATCGGCTGCGAGGTGAGCTGCGCCGCCCGCGTGCCGGATACCAGGAGGCTGTTTGTGGCAGTGGGCCTGGGCTTTCATGTGGAGGCGGCGCTAGAGGAGGTGGCGGGCGTGGTGGCGCCGCGATGCAAGCACCTGGAAAGTCAACTGCAGGAGGTGGCTCAGCAGCTAGAGGACGCAAGAGCATGCGCAAGCGCTTTTGATAACTCTCTGCGAATGCTGCGTGAAGGGGAGGCTGAGGCCGGGTGATGACGTGGGTGTGCGGACGGTGGGAGGTGGCACCGTCCCATGCAAGCCGTTGTAGCCTAGGATGAAAAGGGTTGACACAGTGGAAAATTGACTACTAGAGTATAGGGGCACTGCCTTACACTTCCCTGGGTTGCCGCCGGCGATCGGGTCAGACGGGGTCTATTCTTATTGGTTTCAGAGCTGCTGTCGATCACGACTGGTTTGCTTGCAATGGTCTTGAAGGTTGATTATGGTTCCACCATATAGTTGCCACATGTACATAACGACAGCAGTTACTATACTGCTGTGACAATGCGTTGACGAAAACGGACTTGACAATGGCATCGGACAGAAGGCTTGCGGTTTATTGCTTTCTCTTATTTATTTCGCTTGAGACGTTGAACACACACATATCATGCAATGCTTCCATTATTCAGCCGGCTTTGCAGTCGTTCTTTGGCAGTGCAGCTGACGCAACTGCCGACGCTGAAGTGCTTGCCATGCTGGACTTTGCCATCCATATGCCTCTTTTAAAGCTAAATGGAACACTTCGAAAAGCACCAGAATTGGATGAGCCTGGTGCCGCGGAATTGGTTAAACAGCTGCTAGCATTTGGCCAACAGGGCCAGGGCATCACGAAGGAGTGGGTGGCAGCGCTGAGCCACTTTTATACCTCGAACGTCGCCAATATCACAACAGGGCCCCCAGATATGTTAGGCAAGCGTCAGGCCTTCCCTGTCCTCCGCCGCATGGCGATGGCACAGTTGGTTAAGGCCTGGCTGACTGGCATGCAGCGCCAGCTACCTCCTGTCTTGGAGGACTCCTTAAGGCGACTGTTTCACGAGGTGGGAGGGTGGGGTAGGCGGGATTTTTTCTGCTACGACTGAGTTTCCCCTGCGACTGAGTTTCCATCCCAATGCCCCCGCCGGTGGCTTGGGGCGACCCCATGGCCGCAGCAATGTGGCACAGAGCTGTCCACGCCCTGGTGTGATCCCACATGCGAGGAATGGTCGGCTCCAGTGTATTGCTCCTCTACCTGCTCTCGCAGAGTGGGATTACGTGCCCCCCCGCTCTTCTCCTCTGCACCCGCCGCCCCTGCCCCCCTTCTCTGCCCCCCTGCCGCCTGTCCCTCTTCCCCCCCCCCCACCTCAGTTCTACGAGGCGCACCGGGTGGTGGCGCTGCGCAAGGGCATCATGGAGTACTTCCACATCTCCAAGTCGGGCGGGACCAGCTGGTGCCATGCGGCCAGTGAGACACAGGGAGGGTAAAAAATATATATAGTGAGACACAGGGAGGGGGGGCGGCAGGGGGCAGGGAGGGGGACCAGCTGGTGCCATGCGGCCAGTGAGACACAGGGAGGGGGGGCGGCAGGGGGCAGGGACCGACCCGCCAACCCTCCCTATCCTCCCTCCCGCTACCCCCAACCCCAAGACCACTATCACTCTTCCATTCCACACAGGGGTTTTCCTTCCTTTCCCCCCTCCCCCTTCCCCGCCCCCCCGCCCCCCTACCAGAGAACAACGGCTGCCGGGCGCAGATCTACGACTCGGCCTACATCTGCCAGATCAGCCAGTTCGACGACCGGGTGCGCTGGCTCAACAACTCCTTCCACCACCAGCGGACGGGACGGGGAGCTAGGTGCGGGGGAGGGAGGGGTGTTATCGTACGGGTGCATATGCGGAAGGGGGGGAGATCAAAATCGATATCGAACCATAGTAAACCAGGGGGGGTATGAGGAGGAGGAGAAGTAGTGAGGCGCCGGAATACGGGCGGGGGGGGTGTCAACGAGCAGCGTGCAAGCGCCCAACATGCGAGTTGGTTGGAGTGCCATGGCTGGGTTAGTAGGAGCTGCCGGGTCCGCCGGGCTGGCAGCGGGGGCGGGATATGGGATTGGGACTCCAGTTCCTGCGCTTCTCATTTGTTCTTCCCCCCTCCCCTCCCCCTCCCCCTCCCCCCCAGGTGGGGCACCTGGGGTCGCGCCCAGCGCGCCACGCAGCAGCCCACCTGCGCCGCCCGCCACGAGTTCGCCGCGCTGATGGGCTACCAGTACTTTTCGAATGAGTACGCGCTGCACGAGGGCTTCGAGCGGCCGGAGGAGGTGGGGCTGTGCGAGCAGTTCTTCAATGTCATACTCATCAGGTAAGGAGGGGGGGAGGGAAGGGGGAAAGGGGGAGAATTATATAAGTGAAACAGGGGGAGGGAGAGGGAGGGGAGTCCTGCATGTGCTCCACTCCTTTCATGTCGAGCCCGCTGCCCTCCCGTGGGCCCTGCGGCGCCCCTGGCCCCCCACGCTAACACACGGCTCAGCAACCACATGTAGGGCACTAACCCAGGTCCTCACATGCTACTAACCCAGGCTCCCCTGCCCGTTGCTCAACAACCCCAGTCATACTAGCACCAACACCAGCACCCATCCACCCGCTTCCCTTACCCCCGCCCAACCCTCGTGGTGAAGCCTCGTCATACAGCTCGCCGGTCTCTTCCTTCTTACCCCCCTCCCCCCACACACACATTGGGTATTCCTCTCACCCCCCCCTCCCCCCCCCCTCCCCCAGGGACCCCCTCCGGCGCCTGCTGTCGCACCTCAAGTTCGTGACCATGCAAATGAAGTGGGACTACCGAAACAACACGCTCTTCCACGCCACCTTTGCGGGGGTGGATGCGGCATTCTGGGAGCAGTTCGGACCCGTGCTGGTGGACAACTACATGCTGCGGTGAGGGGGGGTTTGCCGCAAGACAAAGGGGAGGTTAGGTGGGGAGGAGGAGCAGGGAGTGGACAACTTCTTTCTTGGGTGGCATCCGGCCGCCTCCTTACCCTTTGCTTTGCCCTGGATTGTGGTTTGGTTTGCTCTGGCACCCCTCCCCATTCCCCTGCCCCTCCACTTCCGCCCCCCCCCTCAGCGGCATGCTGGGTGAGACGGTGTACCACTGGCCCCTCGGCTCCATCGGGCCGCAGCAGGTGCAGCAAGGCAGGGCGCTGCTGCAGCAGGTGGGAGGGAGGGGAGGGGAGGGGAGGTGGGGGGAGGGAAAACGAAGTGGTGGGGGAGCACACGGTGATACTCCCAGCCGAAGGGGCCACACTGGCGGAGGGGGGGAAGAGGGGGGAAGGGGCTATGGGAGGGGGCTGCAGCGATGCCTCCTTGGCGCTCTGTTGGCCTAGTTGCGGTACAGGGAGGGCCCGGACCCTGTATGACGGTGTGAGCGGTGCGCAGTTCTCTGACCACCAGTCCCCACCACCGCACGCTGCCGGGGTGCCGCCGCTGTAACGCCCCCCTGCCCTGCCTGCCCCCCTGCCGCAGTACGACATGGTGATCGACCTGGAGGCGGGGCACGACGTGATTGATGACGTCATCCAGCTGGGGCTGGGCTGGCCGCACACACTGAGGGAGGTGAGGTGGGGCGCTGCTGAGGCCTCGAGCGGGTATGCTGAGGCCGGACTGAGGCAAGAGCGCAGGACTTTGCTGATGTGCCGGAGGTCACCAGACTAGTAACTGACTGGGGAGACGATGACTCATCAGTACTAAGGCTGTTTCATCTTGTGCGCTCCCGCTGCGGAGCTCTTCCTCCTCTAATGAAGAAGGAGCCGCCAGTGCTTCTCCCATCTCCTGCCCTCCTGTCTGCCCGCATCCCACCCCCCTCCCTCGCCCCCCTCCCTGGGTGGGGTGGCATGGGCCGGGTTCGAATAGCAACCCATGGAGAAGCCCCGTCATCCAGTTCGTCAGTTTTCCTTACTTTTACCCCCCCCCCCCGCCCCCCCTTGCAGATCCACGACAAGGACTCCGCCAAGGCCGCCAAGCTGCTCAACCTCACCTACGAGGACTACCTGCCGCGAGACATGGAGCGACTCTACGCGCGGCAGCAGCCGGATGTGGAGTTCTACCGGTGTGTGTGTGGGGGGGAGCGGGTGGGGGAGCGGTGTGAGGGACTTGACTGTGGGTAGGCGGGTTAAGTGGGGTTTAAGCGAACTTCTCCACACATCCGCTGCTGATCCATCTCCCTCCCTGCGCCCCGCCTCTCCCAAACCACGCTCCCCACTCCTCCCCCCCCTCCTCCTCAACACACAGCTTCGGTCGCGTGCTGGTGCGGCTCGACGCGCTGCTCTTCTCCGTCGCTCGGGCACTCGGGCTGCAGCCGCTGCCGGCATTCGACCTGCAGGCCGCACGCGACAAGCCCAAGGCCATCCGCTGCGGGCTGCTGCGTCGCGGCCCGCGCCTGACCAACAGCACCGACGACCGCTGGCTTCCCAACGAGTTCCACAACCGGGTGAATGCGGAGATGTTGGCGGCCAGGCAGGCGGCGCAGGCCAAGGCGGCGCAGCGGGCGGCCAGGATAAGGGCAGCGAAGATGGCGGCCGCGGCGGGGGCGGGTGGTGGTGGTGGTGGGGTGGGGGCGAACGCGGGGGGGAGGAGGTTACGTGAGGAGGAGGAGGAGGAAGAGGGTGAGGGGGGGAGGGGGGCGCCGCGGGCGCTGCCGGGGATGGCGGGGAGGGTTGTGGAGGAGCGGCGGAGGGGGTTGCTGATGCGGGGAGGTGCGGGGGAGAGGGAGCAGCAGCAAGAGGAGGAGGAGGGGGTGTGGGGGTGCGGGGAGGGTGGGGAGCTGTTCCAAGCGCTTGGGCTGGAGGAGGGGGATTCGTTGCGGGGCTGAGGGCTTGGCGGGGCTGAGGGGGGGAAATTATATAAGTGAAACAACGAGTCCCAATCCCATATCTGGGTGGACGCATGCAAGAGGGAAGTTTAGCTTTTAGAGGTTTGTTGCAGATCTCCTTGCCTTGCTGCATTCGGGGCCCTGGGAGGATCAATTGCGACGCGCGCGCGTACGTTCCAATGTACGGTCCCATTAGCTAGGGACTTGTTACTGTTACAGGCAGGGAATTACAGGAGGGGAGCAGCTACAGGAAAACCCTTACAGCCTAGTGTCGCCGATGGGGGGTAAAGAGGAGAACTGACCATAGAGGAGCGCCGATGGGTGGCGACCAAGACTGATCCGTGATCCGGCCACTGTGTCCAGCTGCCCATGCGGGTTGTGATCGGCGATGGGACGGAGCGGGGCGATTCAATGAGTGGAACTGCCGCACTAAATTGTCGCGACAGTCGGGTGAGTGGAACTGGTGTGGGGTGAAGACTAGCACCCTCTCCACCGCCACGTCTGTGTATGGGCGGCGAAGAGCCCAATGAGACGTCGTTGCTCGCGAAGTTTGCGTGCGCGGGAAACTGTATTCTTTATCACAGCGAGCCCCTTTGTGCGTATCTTGGTATTGGTCGTCTTGGCGTGCTGCAGTGCTCGAGGTGTGTCCGGCGGCTGTTACCGGTGCACACCACGTTCGGGGCGGGGCGGCACCGTTCAGAGGATATAGCCGACATGGGCTTTTTATTATTCTTTCCCATGCAGAAGTTAATTGACTGCCTACATTCAAGTCTCAACGTCGTGACGCGTGTTGGACGGTTGTACTGCTGCGTCTGTACGGCAGGCAGGTGGGACGCCCTGCGTGAGCTGGCCCCGCACCTCCGTGTCATGCACTGGGCGTACAGACGCCAGAAGACGGGCTCGGACACGCAACCCAGTAGTCGAAGTGCTTGTGGTGTAAGGCTCTCGTTAGGCGCCTGTCTACTATCCCGCAGAACTTTTTTTTATGCATCCGACTTCGCTGTAAGGGGGTCATGGGAGCCCTGCAAGAAGCACACCACATCCGACCACATGGCTCCGATGCCAGGTCGCAATGCAATTGCGAAATCACGGCCTCCGCAACCGTCAGGACGGTCAACGGCATAAAACGGTGATGCATGCCATGTGACGCACCCGTTGAGCTTTGCAGCTCGTCCTTACTTGCTGCAGGACAATCAAGAATGATCATCCCAACGCAGGGTCACCCACTGTTAACGATCATGTCGCCTCAGCTCCCCACGCACCGGTTAATGTTACCTGGGAACAGCTGGGAACATGGACAAGGATTGCGTGTACATGTGGTGCGGATTTGGACCTGTGTCGCTGCGCCCTCAAATCATTGACCCGTGGGTCAGTTCACGAGTTGTGCGCTACATCTGCAAAGGCCTACGCCTAAACAGGCTTCAGTCCCAACCGCGCCGCCCGGAACCTTGTTCCGGCCCCCGATCACGCCCTCCACATGCCGCCTGCGCCCGGTTGCATCCTTCGCCTCCTCCTCCTCGTCCTCCTCCCGCACACGGCCTTATCACAAAGTCAGTTAGTTGTTTCCTCGTTACTCCTCCTCCTCTACCTCTCCGCCACGCCAACCACTAAGCAGCCACATGCGCATGCGGCTCCACCACCCAGCTGCTAGCTCCGCCCAAGCGCGCCCCGCTGCCTCACGCAGCAATCCATATCACATTCGGAGCAGGTCATCACTCCTGGTGTTCGTGCACGGGTCCAAACTCCTCCCGCGCCCGCCGCACGTACATCGCGTCCAGCGCGCAAATGAGCACCCCGCCCACCGCCACCGGAATGGCCAGGAAGCCCAACACGATTGCCGTGTCGGACAGCCCGTGATCGTCCTTCAGCCGCCGGTAGAAGCGCATGCCTACATCGGGCAGCCTGCGTGGCAGTGGGGCGGGGCGGGGCGGGAGGAAAGAGCGAAAGGAACATGACCGTACAGCACCAGGTTACCGTCATGGAAAGACTCAAGAGGCCAAGCAACCCGATCGGGTCAAGAGGCTTTGAACCCGTATCTCTCACAACCTCCAATTCCAATCGACTTTCTTCTGTAGAGTACTATCTACTTCGCCGCCCAGGAGGGCATCAACCTATCCAACGACCCTGCGGCCTCGCCTGACTGCTCCCTTTCTTACACTGCTCCTGGCATCTCATGACGCCTCCCCCCCCCCCCCACCCACCCACCCGCCCACCCATCCCTCCGCTGCAGTCTCACCCGACTACCCGCCCGATGACCCGCCCCACAGCGCTGTTGGGAGCCTGGTAGAAGGGCAGCGGCGTGGCCTTTCTGAAGCCCGAGACAGCGAACTCCCGGAACTGCGGGGGGGAGGGGGGGGTAGCAAAACCCAAACTCCCTCTAGCAAACCGGTGGGAGCAGTCCAGCGATGTTCGCGGGGACAACGTTGGAACACCGGGGACCTCGGCCCCCGACTCCCCTGCGACATGTCACCCAACACATGCGCCCTGCAGCACTCCCTGCAGCACTCCCTGCGCCCGCTCCCCGCACCCACCGCCGCCACACTCTTGGGCCCCTGCAGCGAGTAGGTGTACGTCCTGCCCTCCCGCAGCAGGTAGAGGGTGGGGAAGGCCTTCACGCCCAGCCGCGTCATGAGCGCACGCTGCTGCGTGCCGTCGATCTGGTGGAACGGGAGGCAGGCGATGGAGGAGCGGAGCAGGCTCGATGTGTTCAATTCTTGACTACCTTTGGAACGTCAAAAGCCACAAGGTGCACGGACCCCAACGTGGCCGCTGCGCACCACACCGCACCCGGCGGTTCACATGTATACGCATGCAACTTGTCAAGCGCAAGGAATTCGTGCCTGCGCGCAGAAGTATGTCGACCGGCGGTCTTCATGGCTAAGCGCCTGCCTTGAGTTGCTCAAGCCGCGCGCTTTCCGTCCACTTCCTTCCAGGGCCGCTCTGTTCCTCAACCTGCTTATCCAGCCTGCGCCCCTGCCCTCACCTCAGCTACGTTTATCCCGTCCTGCTGCGTGTCCGGGTCCTTCGCAAAGGCCTCCCACAGGGGGGCGATCTGCCGGCAGGCCTGGCACCTGGGGAGCGAGGGCGCGGGGCGTGAGTGGTATAGGGCCCAGCTGATCCAGAGCAGTTTCTAGGAACATGTGTAAGTGAAGATGAGGTAGTCAAATACGGTCTGGCAGAAAGCACAGTGCACGGATAAGCTGATAAGCAAAACCATGCTTAGATAGATGAAGCGGGCCTGGCAGCTCATGTCCTTCCACCATGGCCCTCCATGTGCGGATCGAACCCAAAACGCTGCTATGCCATAACGGGAAGCTATATCCACCAGGAGGGCAGCCAATTCGAAGCTCACCAAGGGGCGTGGACCTGCAGCAACATAAAGGCGGCGTTGTTTGCAGGGCATTGTGGCAGCATGGTACGGGTTGCAAAGGGAAAGTTGGTCTGGGAAACCCACATACGTACAGCCCCATCTGGCACGTATGGCAGGTAACACTCAGTATGACCTCGACGCTTATAAGCAAAACCCGCACCTTGACCATCCAAACTCCTGTTGAGGTCTCCGCATCGAAGTTTTCATCCGTCAGCTCTATAACGCCTTTACCAGCAGCCACACTAGAAAGGAGACCTACTAAGTATAGTGCTCCTAAAAGCGACGTCGGAAACATGCCTAGGCTTTAAGATGTGTTGACCAAAGCGAACTAGGAATTCTCCTAAACGTTGCAAGGCCTTGCGAGTATAAATGCGAGGTAAGGAATAATAGCGAAGATCTAAATGCCTCGACTATGTTGCCATACGGTATTGAGGACAACGTGTCCAGGAAATTCCGGTGTCTCTATAGCAGCGCCTGCCGTGAGCTATTGATACCTGACAACGTATAATTTAGTGCTCTGACCAAGACATTGCATGCAGGAAAAGACGTACAAAGCATTGCATCGGCTAGATGTGTACTGCTGTACGAGATGGGAAGCCGGGAAGGCGTTCCATCTTATCCGCATGAGCACCCATGGCGTCTCCGCGTCATCACATGGAGTCAATGATGACATTGATGACATGAACTCAACTGGTGTTGTGGCTGGCCTAGATGGGTTGGGCTGCGGGTGGATTATGGTGGATTGCTGGGAAGTTCAGGTCTAGACGGGTCTAGATATAGGTGGTATCGGGTTTCATAGCGAAATTCTTTATGTTTAATCACAGACAGCGTGTTGCCGTCACCCTTCAAGCTGCCGTGCAAGTTGGATGTGTATTGCAGGTTTCACAACGTTCCCTATCCTAGTCGCCTCTCCTCCAGCCCTGGACATGTAGTAAGGTTAAACCAGGAATTGAAGTCATTGCCAGCCCCTCGATATCGGAATGCAGACTATGCAGTCGGCATGGGCGCGACAGACCGTGTGAGTGTAGTTGCAAGCGGCACGGTGGCCAAGAAACCCCAGAGCCGTCACAGATGCCGCTGTCTGCCAACTCCTAAAGCAGCGTTAGGTTGACTAACGGAATGCACCGGTTTCCATTGCCGAGCGGTTAGAAGTCCCTATCGGCGACGAAGGGTGGTTGTATGAAGAAACCAGGATCACCGCCTAAAGATGTATCAAGGCGCCATGTGAGCGCTTCCTCGCATGGATCCTGCCTTCTTTCCACCTTTCCCAATGGTCCGTACGGCGTTTTTCCTTCGATGCTCGTGCAATAAAAGGTTTTGTCCATTATATACAGCTACTGATATTCCAGCTTTTGTACTTGGGATACCGATATCCTTGCATGTGTGAAAACGTTAGGACTTTCCTTTGAGCAACATCGTTTTCAGAAGCACGCCTTCCCCAGTGGTGCCAGTTAGGATTGGCATGCTGCTGAACATCAGTCTACTTCGGTAGCGTTCCTTCCAAAGGGCTAGGGGACCGGTGCGCTTGCAGGATTGGGGTGAGCTGCAGCACGTTTGCAGATGCAATTTTTTATTGCACGCGTTGTAAGCTTACCGATTACGATGATCTGCAGGACCAAGATGGAGAAAAGTCACAATCGGAGCCATGTGCCTCTTATGGAATGGGCAAGTTTTGGGGCGACCCCTGCTTTGTTTTGGTGAAATGCACTTCGAAGGCAATCGTCCATCTCTGTAATGCTTTGGGAACGAATAATTCGTTAAAGGCCACGTTCATTGTTATGAGGTACTTCCTTTCCCGTCGTCCAATTCCAAACCAATGCCCCATGGTGAACCACAGGCGAGCGGCTTCCTAGGCATCGGGTCGGCCGTCCTCTGTAAGTATGGAATGCATGAGCGTGCTGTGCAGACGACAGAGGCGCAGCGTACAAGCCAAAGCTGTAACAACAAAGCGTGCGTACTCCGTTACACGCACAGCCAAAGTCACCCAGCCTCGCTTCTACTTCCTGTGTCATCATACCTCCTCATGCTCCGCAGGCACGCCCTGGGTGTTCGTTCCCTTTCACCCTCCCATACAACCATGCCCTCCTCCCTTTACCCTCCTCCTCCTCCTCCTCCTGCCCCCGCAGACGGCACCACGGCGGTCTCCATGAACTTCGTGAACAAGGCGGCCATGCAGATGCTGCCGCTGCCCAACGCGGTGATGGTGCTGCAGATGCTCGCCACGCTGCTCATCCTGCACCCGCTGCTGGAGCTCGGTTGGCTGGGCTTCCCCAAGGTGGGTGGGGGGCAGAGGGGGGCAGGGAGGGTATGAGGCGAGAGGGGGTCGGAGGCGGCAAGGTGGGGGGCGGCGGGGGCGGGGGCGGGGGCGGGGGCGGGGGCGGGAGGGAAAGGGGGCTCCAAGGAGGGCTGCGGAGGACAGAGATGCCCCTGGAGTGGAGCTCTCTGGGGGTCTTCTCGCCTCCGCATTGCCCTTGGTCCGCTCCCGCCTCCCCGTGTCAAACCCCCCTCCAACGCCCCCCCTTCAGTTCTCATGGGCCACTTGTCGGCGGCTGTTTTGGATCACGGCGCTCTACACCGCCAACGTGGGGTTCGCGCTGTGAGTGCCGTGCAGTAGGCGCGGGGGCTGCCTAGAGGGGCACGGGGGAGGGCCTAGGAGGGCGAGGGCAGAGGGGACAGGGTGGGCTAGAGGGGCGGTGTGCGGGGAGGGAGGGAGGGAGGGAGGGAGGGAGGGAGCGCCATGCCTCGGCTAGGGGTGCATGCATTGCTGGGTGTGCGAGTCAGCGGCACACAGCAGAGCCCCCACTCACCGAGCCTGCCGCCCTCGATACAGCTCCCAAGCCACGGTGCACGACGTGAAACCTCTGCTGCCCCTGCTGTGCTGCCGGCCCCCTCCCCCCCCTTGCCCTCCCTCCCTCCCTCCCTCCCCCCCTTGCCCTCCCTCCCTCCCTCCCTCCCTCCCTCCCTCCCTCCCCCCTTGCCCTCCCTCCCTCCCTCCCTCCCTCCCTCCCCCCTTGCCCTCCCTCCCTCCCTCCCTCCCCCCTTGCCCTCCCCCCCTCCCCCCCTCCCCCCTTGCCCTCCCTCCCTCCCCCCCTTGCCCTCCCTCCCGCCCCCCTTGCCCTCCCTCCCTCCTCCCTTGCCCTCCCTCCCTCCTCCCCCTCCCTCCCTCCCTCCCTGCCGCCCCCCCAGGTTCGGCCTCAAGACGCTCAACATCCCAATGTACAATGTGCTCAAGCGGCTCACCCCCATGATGGTGCTCACAGTCAAGGTGGGGAGGCGGGGGGGTCAAGGTGGGGAGCCGGGGAGCGGGGGGGGTCAAGGTGGGGAGCGGGGGGGGGTCAAGGGACCCTACCAAACCATAGGGACCCACAAGGGGGGGGAGAGGAGGGAGGAGGGAGGAAGGGGCAGTAGCCTATGAGGGCGCAGCTAGCTGGGGAGGGTGTAGAAGGGTGTGGAAAGGAGACCTGAAGCTGCTGGCGGGTCGGAAGGATAGGGACCCTGAGGTGGGCCTTCGGCGGACAGCACCCCACATCCCCCACAGCTGCCTGGATCGGCCCGCTGCGTGACAGGAGGGCCTCGGTGGGGGTCTGCTTCGGCTGGGTCTGCTGGCCGCTGGGCGCCCCCTGGGGGGGGGTGCTGCTGTCTGATACCGTAACACAACGGCTGTTGCTGCCCCGCCGCGGGTGCCGCTGTCCCGCTGCCGCCCGCAGGCAGTGATGCGGCGGCGGTGGCCCCGGCTGCAGATCTCCCTGTCGGTGCTGCTGGTGGTGGCGGGGTGCATCGTGGCGGGGGTGGGCGACCTCGCCTTTGACCTCAAAGTGCGCTGGGGGGGGCGGGGTCCGGGGGGAGGGTCTTAGCATTGCTGCTGGTGATGTCGTGGCTTGCTGGCCCTGGGGGGGGGCAGGTTGGTATTCCGGAGCTTGCTGGCTTGCTGGCTGGGGTTCCGGGCGTGGGTTGGCTGGAGGGTTGTCGGGTGCTGATCAGCAGGTGTTTGCGGTTGCTGTGCTCCCGTAGCTGTGACGGTGCGGCACCCATCCCTCGCTGTCACGGCCTGCTGACGTGTGACATGAACCACAACATGTGCGTATATGGTTGACCCGCGCGGTTCACTGCTCCCGTCTCGCGCTTCAACTCGGCGCTGCGTTGCCACGTTGCTGCAGTCGCCTGGCTGTCGCAGGTATGTATGGACTGAGGTGCTGCTGCCTGTGTGTGCTGCTGTTGCGGCCCCCCCTGCCCCCCTGCCCTGCCCCCCTGCCCTGCCCCCCTGCCCTGCCCCCCTGCCCTCCCCCCCTCCCCCCCCGCCCCCAGGGTTACGCGTTCGCGCTGCTGTCGTGCACCACCCAGGCGGCCTACCTGCTGCTGGTGGAGTTCCAGGTGGGGGGGGGGGGAGGGGGAGGGGAGGTAGGGAAAACTAATTGTGACGACGAGGGGCTCCACCTTGTTTCGCATCGTGGTTGCCGGCCCTTCCATCTCCCACCTTCCTCCCACTCCCACTCCCCACCTCCCCACCTCCCCCCGCCTGGCCCTCCCTCCCTCCCTTTTGGGACTTTAGTTGTTTGCATTTCTTATATAATTTTTCCCCTCCCTCCCCTCCCCCCCAGGGGGACGAGGGTGTGGGCACCAGCGAGCTGCTCTACTACAACGCGCTCACCTCGCTGCCCTTCCTGGGGCTGGTGGTGGCGGCCACCGGGGAGGGGGCGGCGCTGCGGGGGGCCTACGCGGCGGCGAGGGAGGTGTACGGGGCGGTGTCGCTGTGGGGCACTCTGGCGGCCTGCGCGCTCATGGTGGGAAGGGGGAGGGAGGGAGGGAGGGAGGGGAAGGGGGGAGGGGGGGGCATGGGGAGGGACGGGAAGGGAGGGGACATTGCGGGGTGCGGTTGGCGTGGGCGGTGTGGGGGGTTGTTAGGCCGTGGGGGTACCGGTATCAGACAGTGTCTTGGACCCGTGTGATCACGTCCGCTGTGTTGTCAGACCAACCCCTCGCTCCTCCCTCCCACATGTGTGCGCCCCCCACCACCACCCCACCCCACCCCAACCCCCTTCAGGGTTGCCTGCTCAACTTTGCGCTCTTCCTGTGCACCGTCAACAACAGCGCCCTCACCACCACCATTGTGGGAGTGCTCAAGGTGCGTGGGGGGGAGGGGGGCGGGGGGGAGGGGGGCTCGAGAGGGGGGTCGGAGTGCGGTATGGTGCGCGTGCGGGTTGAGGGTTGAGGCGGAGGAGCCGGGGCGGGGTTGCGTGCTACCGTGCTGTTGCAGGTTGAGGGGCTCTGTCATGACTGGCGTTCCATCTGGCACCACACCTGGCTGCACCAGTTCCCTACCCTTCTCTTCTCGACCTTTCCCCCCTTCGCCCTCCCCTAGCTTACATGCTGTCCCCTCCCCTCCCCCCTGCCGCCGCCTCCCCTCCCCCCTGCCGCCCATGCTTCCTCCTCCTCAGGGGGTGGTTGCCGTGTTCCTGGGCTTCTTCCTGCTGGGCGGAGTGCGGTTCAGCGCCGTCAATGTGGCCGGAATCGCACTCAACACCGCCGGTGAGAGGGAAGGGGAGGGGGGAGGGGAGGAGGAGGGGAGGGGAGGAGGGAGCAGGGTGGCAGGGGATGGTGTGGGGCGTTTCTGATTGGTGCGGTGGCGTCGGAGTGCGCCCCGGGTTACGACGGCCCTGCTTGTGCGTAATGAATGCGTAATACACCTGCCCCACTGTGCCTTCTCACCTCCCTGCCATGTTGGCACCGACACATTGCCACTGCTGCCACTGGGCGCTGCCCGCAGGTGCGATCTGGTACTCGGTGATCAAGTACCGGGAGAAGAAGAGCACCAAGCGATCGGTCCTGGTAGGGAGGGGAGTGCCAGCCCCCGCAGAGGGCCTCGCAGCTTGGTTCACCTCCTGTAGCGCCCAACAGAGAGCTCCGTTCGGGGCACACACACGAACCCGCTTCGCTTGGGGGCGGGGGCGAGCAACATACCTCCCCAGGGCCCAAGACAGTCTTAGAGCCCAGAGCATTCCCCAGTAGCCACGCCTAGTTCGGTATACGTAGAGGGAACCCGTTCAAGGATATGAAACATGCTTGCCATGCGTGCCCCTAACCCCCCCGTCCCGTCATCCCCTCCCCGCCGCCTGTGTAGGCGTCTGCCAGCATCGAGCAGCTCTCCTCCGCGCTGGGTGGCAAGGACGGGAGCCGGGACGCGGAGAAGGGCTCCAGCTACAGCCTGGCTGACAGGGAGGAGGGCGGCGGGGCAGGGGGAGGCGAGCCGCTGCAGGTGGGGGGAGCGGGGGTGGCGTGCAGGGTGGGTGGGGGCGCACTGGGGTCACGCGAGAGGAAGAATAACAAGGAAACAACCAACTGACAGTGTGATAAGGCGTCATCATGGTTTGCAGCAGAAGGGGGACCTGCTGCGGCGGCGAATGGAGGGTGCTGCGGAACGCCGTTTCCCCACCTCATCATGAAGCTCCTCCCCAACCGCCCGCCGCCCCCGCGTTGTCCCCTCCCCGCAGGAGTGGTCCCCCCCGGTGGTGGAGTCCACCTCAACTGCCACTCGCCGGCACCACTGAGGGGGCAGCGGTGGCTGTGAGCGCCTCTCTGGTTGTGAGTGCCTTTCTTGGGGCGAGAGGCCGCCTCGGGTCGGAAGTGGGTCCGCTCACCGGGCCCTCTTGCAGCAGGGGTTGACTGCACCCTGGGGTCCATCCATTGCAGAGCTGCAATTGAGTGTTTGAAGGGGGACAGGGGTCGGTCCGGGTCTTCTGGGCTTGGGCTGGTTGACCCATGGGTCAGTCCGTGAGGTACCGCTCGCATTGAGTAGACCGGGACTGCAGGTACCAAGCACACCTGCGCTGTTACCGTGACAGGGTGTGGAGACTGGCAGTGTTGGGTTTGAAGTACGGATTATGTGAACGCATGGGGAAAGAGCGAGCGCGCAGAGAGTGTTCGTCGCAGATGGTGTGTGTATTCTTCCACCGGATGGCTAGGTAGGTAGCGATGGCATGATAGGGAACGCCCAATAGGTCAGGCGGCGCTTCGGTGTTCCGTCCTTTTTTTAATCAACATTCTATATAGTTATCAGACTGGTTTCGTCGCCGCTTTCATGTGGGGGTGGGGTATGTTTAATCAGCTGGGCCTCGTAGTATCACTAACCAAAGCTGTCTGCTGGGGCTGCTGTTGGGGTGTGTGGGTGCGAGCCTGAGTGGTGCCGTAGCAGCTGGGCCCCTGCTCACTCGACCCCTGCGTGCCAGCATTCGCAGCAGGCTTGCGGCGTGTCTACGGTGTGGGCGGACACCACACACCAGCCATGCAAATGCACATCATGCTGCACTCTCGCAACAACTAGTTTCTTCATGACGGATGTATGTGTTCGTGCGGACTGTTCGTAATAATGTTATTGCTGGTTAGAGCCCAGGAGGGCAATTTCATGTTTTCCAACAGGTAGTGGCAGTTAGTAGATGCATTGCAGTGAGAGGGATCCGTCAGAGAAGGATTTTGAAGTCGACTAGGTGTACGGAGGGAACGTAGTGCAGTGGAGGCCGAACCCAACGTGCGGGCCCAGGCGTGTCGTGCGGCCCATGTGGTGCACCGCATGACTGTTTACCGGGCCCCTTTGCGCTTACAAAGCGTTTCGTCGTATGACAACATTTACTTGCGTCGTACGACAACATTATTAAGAGTTTGTGTTACAAAGGTATGTGTGAACTATTATACACGCAGCTACACGCCACAGCGAGTGCATAAGCAAACCCGCTATGACGCCCGCATCCGCCCGCTTGGTGCACACATTGTCATACGCTGACGTATACACGTTGCATGCCAAAGAGCACCGATCAGGCGAAATCCGCAACAGCAGGGATAATCGCCGCGCTGTCCCCCCTGCCCTACTGTGACAAGACAGAAGCTGTGTCCGTACGGCCTTTCCTGAAGCATGAATTGCTACACCGGCGATCACCCCCCACCAGGTCCGAAATCCCATACGAGCTGCAAGAAACGTGAGCATCGTGACTTCGTGAGCCGCGCGGAACCCAAGCAAGGAAAGCAAGTGAACACTAAATTAAAACCCCAGAGCTGCCGCGTGCAACCGCATTAGGACACAAGACACAGCTACACGACCACCATCCGTGGATACAAACCAGAAACTCCCGTAAGCAGGCGCCCAGCACTCTTTCGGGCATTCACGTCCGCATCTTTCACCTCATTCCTTGCCAGCCTTGCCAGTAGTAGGGTTCAATTGCTACAGGCCATGATGGCTGTTTCACTCTCCGAGGTCGCACACCCTCTCTCACGCTGCACGCACGGACTGTCGTCAACCCGCCCTGCGCGACAAGGTGTCAATGGGCCATTCGGGCAAGGGGGGCTGCAGCGGAGCGCTGGGAAGGCCCACCCGCCCACGAAACATGCCCGGCTATTGATGAATCGTAACAAACAATGACTCCCCAGTGCCACACCCAAGACACGTGAGACATGACTCCCCAGCCCACCACCTCTGCCCAGCTCCCCTGGCAACTGGCCCTCTCGGGGCGTTGCCAGGCCCCACAGGTCACACCCCTACACAGCTCCCCCGTGCACGGTGGGCAGTTCACCCGAGTCTACAGCCGCGGCTTGCTTGCACCAAGCGGCCCCCGCACCTCGCCCTCTCGAGGCTGCAGCATCCTCTCATCACGACCCCTGCGCACTAAACCAGCATCCCTGCACCCCTGCGGTCGCCAAGTACCACCCGCTTCCAACAGCCGCCCCCCAACCGCCTCCTTCTCCAGCCGCTTGGCGAGTTACCCGTTCGCGGGCGGCAGCGGGGCGGGCTCCGCGGGTGCTGCCGCCGCTGCATCCGCCGCCACAGCCACCGCCTGCGGCTCCACCGCCGCCCCGCACCGCCCCTCACCCCCCTGCGCTGAATCCCCGCACTGCCTGCCGGCAGCCGGCGCAACCGCCGCTCCCCCGCTGCTTGAAGCCTGGAGCACCACCTCCGTCCAGGGCCCGATGTTCGTCCTCATGTCCTGCAGCAGCAGGCGGGGGCACAGGCATCGTTTAGCACTCTCTTCCTCTGCCCAAACATCCCTTACAAGATATACAGGCCGAAGGAAGGCCCCAATCTGAAACCCCCTCAAACCAGCTTACACCTCCCACTCGCCAGCATCCATAAGCGTACCTCCCGTCCCCACCACCACCCCAGCCGCACCCTCATCAACCCATCACCCCACCCCGCACGCACCTGCCTCTCGCTCTTCCCCCCCAGACATGCGGGCAGGTCCTCCTCCGCCACCAGCTGCGTGAGGGTGGGCAGGTAGTCGGACCCCAGGATGGCGATCTTGCGCCGCGTGCGGTCCTCCAGCAGCGGGTTCACTACCGCCCAGATCAGGCGGAACACGGTGGGCGTGTTGATGATGAACATCTGGCCCAGCGACTCGCAGTAGTAGTCCTGGGGGGGGGAAGGTGGGGGGGTCAGGGAGGGACGAGGTGGGGGAGGGGCAGTGAAGCGGGCGGCATGAGAGATGGGTGCCGAACACGAATGAGGCCCGCCCCCCCTGCTCCGACCCTCCACTCCTCACCTGGTCAATTGCCGCCACCGCTCGCAGGATGCGCTGCGCCGCCGTACCGAAGCTCTTCATGGACACGCCCTTGAGGTCCAGGATGACGCACTTGGTGATGATGGGCCGACCTGGGGGGGGGGCAGGTGGGGGGGGGCGGGAGGAATCGAAGGATGGGAAGGGGAGCGTTGGGAGGGCAGGTGTGTTGAACACACGAGAACAACGGTGTGTTGAACTCTCACCGCGAGGGCTGTGTGCGCTCCATGCAGGTGGGGGGCGGCGGCTGACAGCGGCCTTGTGTACCGCTCTGCCTCTGTGGGCCTCACGTGACATGACCTCACGCCACAAGCAGCCCCCAAGCGGAGCGCCGCCAGCCCCTCACGCACCTCGACCGCCGCTCCGCCTCCACCACCGCCTCCACCACCGCCCCCGTCCCCGTCCCCCCTCCCTCCCTGCCTCCCTACCTGCCAGCTGCGAGCAGGCGGGCAGTATCTGCCGCTTGAGTCGCTCCCACTCGCAGATGTGGTAGTCCAGCAGTCGCTCCAGGGAGGTGGCCTCCAGGATGCGGGCGGGGTCGGCCTGGCCCAGCAGCTCGATGTAGACGGGGCGGCCGTAGCGGTCGCACTTGTGGTAAAAGTGAGGGTAGTGCTGTGTGGGGGGGGGGGCGGGTGGGACGGGGTGGGGTGGGATGGGCGGGTGAGGAAGGGGAAGAAGTAGCTGAGGTGGCAGGGGTGCACCATGGGTTGAGTCAAGGACTGGCGGATGGTGAGGAATCATGGTTGGCATGGGGCGGGGTGGGCGGGAGCAGGAAGAGGGAGGAGCAGGAGGGGCGGTTTTGAAGGGGCGCTAGGAGGAGGAGGAGTGAGTAGGGAGCGCTGAATGGGTGAGGGAAAAGAAATTCCAATGTGTGGTGTGATAGTGGTAAACTAGCTGACAAGCCCTGATGGGTGAGGGAGGAATGGGTGGAGAGGAGAGTGTTGGGCGCATGGAAGAGGCGATCGTGCTGGGCTGGATTGGCGGATGGTTAGGAACGGGCAGTAGGAATGATTAGGGTAACAGCAGGAATGATTGGGGTAAACGTGGAATGGGGAATGTGGACTCGGCAATGCCTCTTGCGGGGGTGGAAGGTGCGGTGAGAGGTGGTTGCTGCGCCCTTGCGACTCGTGTAGTGTTGCAAGCTGTCAACGGACACATGCGCTGTGCAACAGTCGCGCCTCTTGCGACCGTACACGGCAGTGCTAACATACACTCCCCTTGGGGAAAGCTTCCTCCGGAAGCAGCTACCACCCAGTAGACCTAGCAGCCATATTGGACACAAGTATGCACCCGCACATGTCCCTTGCCAAATTTGCCACGCGTGGCTAAAGACTGACGGGCGTGGCTCCTACGCCTTCACAACATCAATGTACGAATTGCCCGTTGCGTTGCGAAGCGGGCGTGACACGGTGAGGGTTTGAACTCACCGCAACGACCGCCTCCTCTTCCTCGAATGTGAACGTCTGGTAGACCTCATCAGTCCGGTGCTCCTTGCGCCAGTTGACCATGTTCTGATACATCGTTGTCGCCCGACCCACATCCCACTGCCTTGCTTTAAGGAAGCGTAGTAGCGTATAGCGATCATCATGACCAGCTAGAAGAGCACTAGTTTGTTGGAGGTGTTCGTGAAATTTTTCATAAGCGCTCTGTTGCTCGGATGTTAAATTAAGATACCAAAAGGCCTCCTCCTCCGTCTGTACCCGATGTGGAGTAGGTGAATGTGAGAACCAAGACATTGCTTGCAACGCTTTCTACTACGTAAGATGCACTATAGCTTACAGCCTTTAAGCACGAGCACCTCTGGTATGTTGCAACCTAAGCCGCTGAACACAGCCCCTATGACTCAATCGGCAGCGATATGGCAAAGGTCTAGACAGTTATCATTTGCAAATACATATGACGAAACGCCCTTTACAGTAGACACAACCTTATAATGATGGAAGACGCAAGGATTTTGAATGGGCTTATAAGCCGTACCAGCAGTTGAAAGTTTTGCTCGATCACGCTACGTGCATGGTCGCATAGAACTGCCGTTAGCTAAAGATGTTTTTTTCGCCGAAGGCGCTCCAACTGTAACAGCAATTGAGCTGGTATGTGTTCCCGTCACCGCTCTGTGGAGGTTGTGGCCCTGTCTGGATGGGCCATCGCGGAGAGCAGGTGCTCAGCCTAGGAATGCTTGCTATTGCGGCACTAATGAAAACATGTTAGCGACGGTAAATTAGTTACGAATTCATGTTCATGCAAGGCACATATTAAGGTAGAAGTCCAAAGGTGACCCAGAGGTCAGCCCATCGTACCAAACCTCAAACCCACATGCAGCGGTCAGCTATGAACCACTTAAGCAGCAAATTGTTGAATCGCAAACAAATGCCGTATTCCCTTCAGCTTATGCCTGGCTTGCGCTTTGTCCCGCATAACATCCGCTAACCTTCAGTTGACGTCTTGCCAAACGCATACAATCTTTTTACAGCTTTCGAAACATCTGTACATAGGCTTTTCGTCTCCTAAGCCGACATCCTCTGCAGCTAGACGCTATGCCCGACATCGAGGTCATCGGCGCCGGCTTCGGGCGGACCGGGACGTTCAGTCTCTACACGGCGCTCAACCGCCTGGGATACAAGACACATCACATGAAGGAGGTGGGCCGCAAGTCCATTCCTACTTCCTTGACAGCCACCGCTGCTGCCCGTCGTTTGCAAAGTCCAAGCATCCCTCGCCAACGCCTCACTCCTCAACGCCCCACTCCACCGCCCCCCTCTTCCGCCTTCCTTTCCGCAGGTCATCGGCACCCCGGGTCAAGCATCCGGATGGCTGCAAGCCGCCCGCGACCGCGCAGCTGGCCGCCCCATCAACTGGGAACCCATCCTGAGCGGCTACACCGCCGCTGTGGACTGGCCCGCAGCCGCTTTTTACCGTGAACTCCTGGCCGCCAACCCAGATGCCAAGGTCATCCTGACGCTGCGCGAATTCGAGAGCTGGTACGACAGTGCGCTCCGTACCATCTACCTGATGAGCGAGTGCGGCCGCAGCATCCGGCCGCCCGCCTACCTGGCTCCGCTGTTTCGGGAGCTCACGGACTTCTTCCGCATGCACGATGAGACGTTCTGGGAGGGAACCTTCGGCGGGCGCTTCCTGGACAAGGAGTATGTGCGGCAGGTGGGGTGGGGGAGGTTGGGGAGCGGGCGGCAGGTGGGGTGGGGGAGGTTGGGGAGCGGGCGGCATACCGGTGCATGGCATGCATGCAGCTGGCATGCGGGAAGTGCGGGAGGGGTGGGGAAGGAGGTGCGGGAAGGGGCCGTGCGGCGACCGTATCGTAGCTAAGGACCTGACACACGAACCCGGGCAAGAGTGCAATTTGAGTCTTTGCCATGTCTTCACGGCAACCCACGGCTCCGCGCCCCGCAGTACCAGGTAAGCTTGGACCCGCAACCTGGGTGCCACCAAGCCTCGCTGCTCCTCCCTCCTCGGCACATGCACCGTCCTCCTCCCGCCCTCCCCTCCCCATGATGCAATCCATGTTGGGCCTTGTCGCACAAACAGTCTCTCCTTCATCCCCCTCCCCCCCCACGCCCAGGTGTACGAGTCCCACCATGCTGAGGTCCGGCGTGTCGTACCGCCCGGGCAGCTGCTGGAGTTCCACGTGAAGGAGGGCTGGGGGCCGCTGTGCGACTTCCTGGGCAAACCCGTGCCGCAGGGGGAGCCCTTCCCGCGCATCAACGACACGGCGGAGTTCCTGAAGCACACGGCGGACATGCGCAAGCGGGCGAGGAAGCTCTCGGTGCTGTTCGCTGCGAGTAATGCGGTGCTGGTGGCGGCGGCGGCGGTGGGGGTCGTGGTGGCGGTGCAGGCGGTTCGCAGCAGCATGCGGCGCTGAAAGTCGAGCATCGGCGTAATGCGAGCGGTTTGGGTGTGCTGATGCATTTGGTTGCTTCGATGTCGACTTGGAAGAGGCTGCGGTGTGGTCCGGTGCATGGCATGACCCATGGGTCAGGGGGAGAAGGTTGTTGGGCTATTGGTCCTACGGTGTTGGCTGCGATCTGAGTTGGGGGCAAATGAGGTCTGTAATGAGTAGAAAGCGTGGAATGAATGTTTCGTTGTGGCGGGCGGACTCGGCTGCGAGGTCTGCATGGGCCGTTCTACGACAACTGCCAAATGCTAGTGCACTTGTTTTGTACGTCTCGCCGTTCTGGAGCTACTGGTATGTGCTGGACTGGCTCTTATCCTGAGGGATGGGCTGTTGCGGCCCGCCTTGAAATGTGCCCTTCCAGCTTTACGAAGTTGATGAGAGCAGCAGGAATACTACAGACATTTTCCCCCCATCCTGGCGTGTCAGGTGCCAGAATGCTGCACCGGGGAGAGATCGCAATCCTCTTCCGTGTAAGTGGCATTCACGCACCAGCCGCGTCCCTCCCTCCGCCTGCTATTCAGCCATGTGATAAGCAACTATCACTTCTTATTGTGAAGTATGTAGGCAGGCTCTTTGTGCTGCGTCGTGCCGCAGTACTCGGACTGTCTCGTTCGGCGACAGTTGAACGGCATATCAATGTGCCCATGTCAGACCCGCCACCAACCTTTTCTTCAACTAACGAAGCATCACAAAACATCGTGCAGCTATACGTCGGAAGCGCTTATCAGCAACGACAGCAGCCCCTTTTCTGGCTTTAGCTACCATGCTTGGCTAGTAGCAAAAGCCCAGAAGTCTTCGGCAGTTCGGCTTCAGTCAAGGATTAGCCAATTGATATTTTGAGACCGTGAACTACATATTGAATAATATTCTCTTACTGTGATTAGGAACATAGCCTACGGTGGCTCTGCAACATCTGTGGAGGTGCATTATAATTTATTTACGTTTACAAAAGAGCCCAGAGGCGTGGATGCAGCGGAGGGCTAGAATCCACTACATAGTGCGCAGCCTGTTTTGCGTATAATCGCTGCATGATGTGTGGAAGTTGGTTAGCGAGTTCCCTTACTACCCGTAAATGCATGTCGAGCATACAATGCATCATCCAAAGCTTATTCAACTTTGCATATTTCTGTTCTATTGAGGTCGCGGGAAGGCCCTAGCTCTAGCTACGCCGTACCACATGCGTAAGCGCGTAACATTACGCACTCCACCAAGCTTTGCATATTTCTGTTCCAACTATTGAACACAACTATATTGGGGTCGCGGGAAGGCCCTAGCCCTAGCTACGCCGTACCACATGCGTAAGCGCGTAACATTACGCACTCCCCCAAGCTTACGTTTGGCTCAACCTTTGTCACTCATAGCACCCACTAGCCTTCATATAAAAGGAATCCTTCTTGTGCAGCGTTAGAACAATTTGTGCATAGCCCTTTCGTTTCCTATCGAGAACATCCTCTACAGAAAGACGCTATGTCAGACGTAGAGGTCATCGGCGCCGGCTTCGGGCGGACTGGGACGTTAAGTCTGTACACGGCGCTCAACCGCCTGGGCTACAAGACACATCACATGAAGGAGGTGTGCCCCAAATCCTTAACTTTGGGGGATTAAGTAAATAAGCGAAATAAGCGCTTAACTCCCAGCCACTTCCACACTTGTCATCATCGCCGCGCGTTATCAGCGAATCCCTTGCCAACCCCGCTCCTCCGCAGGTGATCATGACCGGCACAGCATCCGGATGGCTACAAGCCGCCCGCGACCGCGCCGCTGGCCGCCCCATCAACTGGGATTCAATCCTTGGCGGCTACACCGCCACTGTTGATTGGCCCGCGGCCGCTTTCTACAGCGAACTCCTCGCAGCAAACCCAAATGCCAAAGTCATCCTGACATTGCGTGACTTCGACAGCTGGTACGAGAGCGCTCTGGCCACCGTGTATACGATGGGCGAGTGCGGCAGCAGCATCCGGCCGCCTGCCTACCTGGCTCCGCTGTTCCGCCCCCTGACGAACCTCTTCAGCATGAACGACCTGATGTTTAAAGACGGCATCTTCGAGGGGCGCTTCTTGGATAAGGAATTCGTACGGAAGGTGGGGTGGGGGAGTGCGAGGGAGGAGGGCGGGGTGCGAGCGGTAAAGATAAGACTGGATGAAGGAGGGATTTCGCGCGGCGTGTGGGGCCCAGGAGGGGGAATGCGAGCGGCATACCGGTGCATGGCACTCATGAAGCCTGCATGTTGGAAGACGGAGGGGTGATGCACAGTTAGGGGCTTGACATCGGGCAAGCGGTTTGGCCTTTGCGACTTTTTGTAATTGCAACGTGGGTGCCCAAGCTCGCTCCTACCGTTTGCCCGTGAAAGATGCACTGTCCTCCTTTCTGCTCCCCTCCCCAGCCCTCCCCTTCCGTTATCAGCATGCGTTGCTCCCCCTCCCCCCTCCCCCCCTTCTAGTTGTTTGCATTTATTATATAATCCCCCCCCTTCCCCGTCCCCTCCCCCTCCCGACCAGGTGTACGAGTCCCACCATGCTGAGGTACGGCGTGTCGTACCGCCCGGGCAGCTGCTGGAGTTCCACGTGAAGGAGGGCTGGGGGCCGCTGTGCGCCTTCCTGGGCAAACCCGTGCCGGAGGGGGAGCCCTTCCCGCGCGTCAACGACACGGCGGAGTTCCTGGGCAACATCGCGAAGGTTCGCAAGCTAGCCCGGGTGCTGTCGGTGTTCTTCGCCGCCAGCAATGCGGCGCTGGTGGCGGCGGCGGCGGCGTCCGTTGTGGCGGCGGTGCAGGCGATTCGCAACCGGTTGTGAGACCGGTTGGAGCTCCGAGCGAGGGGTGGCGCATGTGCAACCTGCTGCCTGACTTGAACCATGGTTAGGGTGATTGTTATCTTGGTTATCTGTTAGGTTGGTTGTACGGCGGTTATATTTAATAAGGGCTTTGCCTTTCAAGCAACGCCTTAGGGCTGCTGCCAGGTTAGCAGGGTAAACACAATCCTATGCTGCAAGAAGCGCCAAAGCGCCCCGGAGGACAGCGTGCGGCTTGGAAGGACAAGGGCAAAGAGGGCTGCGCCCCGAAGGCCTTGGTTGCTTGCGTTGCAGTTCCATTACTCTGCGGCTGCTGGGTGTTGTGATTCGTGGTTTCGGCTCTTGAGCTCTTGAGGACGCAGCTAGGGAGTCGAGGTGTGTGTGTACAGAGCGGTACAGCTGTACTGTATAGGCAGGAGTGAAGTGATTCGTGATTTGTGAACTGATGTGGCATGTGCAGAAGATTGAGCATTGAGGGGATATATTCAGCATTTGAGTATTCATGCATGCATGCATGACGCGTGCGAAAAAGCAATCACGGTCCTCCTCCTTTTTGAGCTCCACTCTGGCAGTTGTCGCGTCCCTCGCTTGCATGTCGCCCTTGACACGCATGTTGCATGCACCTAAGAGCCATGGAGCCTGCCCCGCTGTGATGCCATCAGATAGTGCCGGCAGCCTGCCACTGCACTCGCCAGTACAACCTCTGCTCCATACACAGGCAGCAAGTGTACGGCATGACTTCGGCGCATATTGTAACAATCACTTGCTCGCAAAGGGCGTGTCTAGCGTTTCAGGAGCATCAACCAGTTATCAGTGTTGCTTCTGCGCCCGGGGCTGCGTTGCGACGTGCCTCCCAGTTTGAGAATACCGGTGCTTGGACAAGGGCTGCTTGGACAACTACAACGCAGGTCTGAGCTCATGCCCTTTGCCTACCACCTTTCACGAGTATACTAATAGCAATTGTCTCTCTCCTGTTCCGAACCAATCATTCCGAGGAAACGGAAATGTTTCCAAACCTCTCGAGCTGCTGCTGGCCCGGGCGGGCTGCGAGTGAACCATGGATCACAGGCGCCAGGGTAACGGTCACCGTTACTGGTTTAGTCACGACTATTTACAAGAACCACATAGGGGACCCGTAGCAGAGAAGTTCCATGCGCGACCTTCATACTTGTTAGGGTTGTTACCATTCACCAGCCTCTGTCTCGACTACCTTTCTGTCTGAAAGGACATCGAATTGGCACGTTCAGCTGTAAACACCCGACAGCTTGTCAACGCTGTGTAACACCGTTCCCTCGGAGCCCTCCTCCTCCTCCTCCCTACCGAGAGCCCCCGCGAGCCTTCAACCCCACCCCCCATCGCACGCATTGCAAACACCTTTCTCACCTGCACCAGTAAGATGCAACAACTATTGTACACCACCACCTCCTCGACCGTGACACTTGCACCCCACCCCACCCTAATCTACAAGTCACGTCCTGTTTTGCCATGCCTTTCCTGCCTTACTCCGCCCCACTAGGGCTTCGACCACTATCGTTCACATCACGGTCTTCCCCCGCTCCTACCCACCCACCCCGCCCGCCAAATGTGGCAACAACAACCGCTTGCCTCCCTTCCTTCCTTCCCCGCCCTCCACCCTGCCCCCGCTGGCTACATTCCCTGCCGCCTGGTCCCTTCGCATGCGTGCAGGCGTGCTCTCTCTGCATGCGCCTCCGCAGTCTCCTTGCCCCCGCCTGCCCCCAGACACCAGGGCTTAGATACAATACCTTCCTCCCCCTACACCGCCCCCATTCCCACATCGCCATCTACCCCCCCCCTCTTGCCCGCTTTCCTCACCCGCCCTGCCTCCAACGCCCCGTCATACAGTTTTACACCCTCCCTTTACACCTCCATGTACAGCACCGCCCTGCCTCCACCTCTCCCCCTGGTAACATGTCCACCCCCCATGTTAGTTACACCGCCATCTGCATCTTGATGGTCTTGTGCGGGTTGTAGCCCACCAGCTCAAAGTCGGAGAACTCGAACGAGTCAATGTCCGTCTTGGCGGGGTTGATGCGCAGGACCTGAGGGGGGGTGGAAGTGGGGCAGCATCGCAGGGGGGGTGGAGGGTGAGAAGGGTGACCAACCGCATGCCACGGAGGGGTACCGTCCTCGGTAACCCGACGGAGACACCCGCGGGTCGTCCAGCCGGCGGCCCCCACTCCTGTTGCTAGCTTGCTGGGGAGGGGGTGCCAGAGGGCAGTTCAGGTACCACAGGCAGCTGTGTGTGTATTGCAACATGCACGATACACCCGCTGCTGTGCGACCGGCGATTGGGGGGGGGGTTCTCTGGGGCCGCTGGCGGTGGTGTCACGTTGTGGGCTCTGTGCATGTTCACCGCCCATGGTCCATTGGTCGCCCGCCCGCGCCCCTCATGCCTCATCCCAGATGGCTCCTATCTGGATAGCTCTGCGGACACCCCCGCCACCCAACCCAACGCATGCTTCTCCTTCCATTACCCACCGCCACCCACCCCTCCCACCGCCACCCCTCCCCCCTACCGGGAAGTGTCGCGGCGTGTTGTTCAGCTGCTCCCGCAGCGGCTCCACGTGGTTGGCGTACACGTGCGTGTCGCCCATCGCGTGAACCAACTCGCCGGGGCGCAGACCCGTCACCTGACAGGGGGTGAGGGGGGTGAGGGGGGGGGGGGGAGGGGGGGGGGGGGGCGGTGGTGTAGAAAGGGAGTACCCGACTTGGCATGCGCGCAAAAGCACGGTACGGCATGAGTCACCGCCATCACCGCCATTGCATCGCACTGCCCCACCGCCTTTACGCCCGTCCAGGGGCCACTTGGGACCAGGACACGCACACGGGGCCTCACACCTGCACCCCCCTCATCCCCCCCTCTCCCTCTCCCCCCCACCTGCGCCACCATGCGGGTCAGCAGCGCGTACGAGGCGATGTTGAAGGGCACCCCGAGGCCCACGTCGCAACTGCGCTGGTACATCAGGCAGCTCAGCTCGCCGTCCGCAACGTAAAACTGGTGTGGGGGAAGGGAGGGGAAGAGGGAGGGGAGGTTGGAAGGGTACGACCGTGTTGGTGACGATCATGGCAAGGCAGGCCAGCGCACCACCGTGCTACCCCCTCCCGTTACCTCTCCCCCTCTCCCAAGCCTACTGCCCTCTCCCCGCTCCCTCCCCCTCCCCCCCCCCACCTGGCAAAACATGTGGCAGGGCGGCAGAGCCATCTCATGAAGCGCCGCCGGGTTCCACGCCGTGAGCACCATGCGCCGGTCGTTGGGGTCCCTCCGGATCTGCTCAATGATGCTGCGCAGCTGGTCCACCCCCTGCCCCGTGTAGTCTGCATGCATGTCGGTGTAGGGGGCGCCGAAGTGGCGCCATTGGAAGCCGTACACCGGACCCAGGTCGCCCACCTCCCTGGGGGGGAGGGAGAGGGATTAGTGTAGGGGGGAGAGAAGGATAGGGTTGGGGAGAAAGGGCTGGGGAGAAAGGGGGGTGGAGAAAGGGGTTGGCAAGCGCACTGTTATCCCAACCTGCTGTCGCCGTCAAGTCGGGAGAGCGAGGGGGGGCGCCAAGCTGCTTCCTCTTCCCTGTCTTCCTCGCCTCGCCCCCACAATCCCACACACCCTCCCACACACACATATACCTTCCAACTCGCGACACCTTAATTGCCAACCTGCATTACCCCCTCCCCCACCTGTGCTGCAGCCCCCTGCCATCCAGGAACTCCCGGCTGCTGTTTCCGTCCCAGATGTGAACCCCCTTGTCTTGCAGCAGCTGCGCATTGGTGCTCCCGCGCACAAACCACAACAGCTCCTCAGCGACACCTGGGGGGGGCAGGGGGGCAAAATTATATAAGAAATGCAAACAACTAAGTCCCAATCCCATATCCCGACTCATGCAGTGAGTGCATTCGGAGACACTATTCTAAAGGGGGGCAGGGGATGGGAAGCACAGTCACAAGCAGCTCAATCACATCTTGTTGCTACTGCGCAACCACCTCCCGTGCACCTCCAGTCAATCACAACTCCGCCTGCCCCCGTCGTCCTGTCTCCCCCCCTCCCCCCCTCCCACCCACCCTTCCAGAACACCCGTTTGGATGTGAGCAGCGGGAAGTTGTGCCGCAGGTTGTAACGCGCCATGCGGCCGAAGCGCGAGTAGGTGCCTGTGCCGGTGCGGTCGGGGCGGAAGGTGCCGCTGGTGATGAGCTCGCGGACCAGGTCTAGGTACTGGGAGTGGGAGGGGGGAGGGGAGGGGGGGAAGGGGAGGAGGGGGGGAGGGGAACGGTGGGTGCAGGCGGGGGAGAAGGCTTAGGAAGTGCACGAGGCGCGAGCAGGAGGGGTTCAGAGAGGGAGAGAGGGATAAGAAGCCCGTTTCCCAGGTATATCCGCAAGCAGGGCGAGGGACAGAGGGGGGATGCAGAGGGAAGAGACACCCGTCTGGGCCCTAGTGAAACTTCCCTGACCCCGCTTCCGGCCCTCTTCTCGTCCCAGCCTCCCGGTCCCCCCTGTCCCCCACCTGCATCTCGTCATGCCTCGAGGCCATCGAGGGCGGCAGCAGCTCCGGGGTGCACTGCAGCGAGCGGCGGGTGTAGCACACAAACGAGTACCTGGTGGGGGGGAAAAAAGAAATTCCAAAGTGTGGTGTGATAATGATGGGGAGGGGGGGGGGAAGGGGAGGGGGAGGGAGGGGGCAGGGGAATGGAGGGAGGAGGTTGTCAAGAGGGGGTCCCATGCGAGCAGGCCTTGCCAGGGGCAGGCAGTTGCCGAAAGTCCGACACCTGCTCCCCCAACTGGCCCCCAACCGCCGCACTGAGCACCCCTCCCTAGTCCGCCACCACATCTAGTCCTGCGGTGAACTGATAGTAGACGGGCGTTTCGCCTCCCTCTCCCCCTCCCAGCCCTTACGACCCCCACCCAGTCGCCGCTCCTCCTCCACCCCCTTCGTGGTGAAGCCTACGTGTCATGCAGCCCGTCACCACCCACCCCCCAACACCCCACCTGGTGCCGTTCTCCACGATGGGGTCGCTGGCGGACCACACCCCGAACAGTGCGGGGTCGAGGGGCGGCAGGTGCGTGTCGCAGTCGTACTCCTGCTCCACCTGGGGAGGGGGGGAAGAGGGGGAAGAGGGGGAGAACGGAGGGGTGTGTGGAACGAGGGTGTTGCGGGGAGGGGGGGAAGGACAGGAGGAGGTGGGTGGGAAGGATGGGGGTAGGGACACGAGGGGGCGGGTTGAGCGGAAGAGGCGGCTGGGGGGAGGGATGGCGAACGGCGCGGCAGCAAGTCAAGCTGGGGAGGACGACACCATCGCAACACGCGTGAACAGAGGAAAGCCCCGTCACATTGCACACCGCATAACCCACATCCCGTTTTACCCGCATACCCCGCACAAACCTGTGTTAGGTGTACGACAGCGCAGTCGGGGTGGCTGAGCGCCTCCGAATACACCTGACCCCCGCCGATGATAAACACGCCCTCCACCTGCCGCTGCAGCCGCTCGGACCGGAGCAGCTCCAGCGCGCTGTTCAGGCTGCCGCAACCGAGAACCTCAGAAGAGGAGGAGGTTGAGGAGGAGGTGGTTGAAGAGGAGGAGGAGGAGGAGGTTAGGGAGGCGCCGTGCTGTTTTGCTAGTTCGTAAGCGTCGGTCTTCTTGGAGGAGGAGTCGGGCTTTTGGGGGCTGCGGAGCGCGTTTGCCGCGGCGCTGCTGTTTTCGGCATCATCGTGAGGTAGGTCGCTGGAGGAATTGTTGTCGGCAAAAGCGCGAGAGAGGACGATGTTTAGACGGCCTTTGAGGGGACGGAACTTGTCGGGAATGGATTCCCAGGTCTTGCGGCCCATGATGACAGCGTTTTGGCGGGATGAATCCCTTGTGCGGGAGGTGAGCTCCTTGAAGTAAGCCATGTCGCCTGGCAGCTTCCAACCGGGAAGCCCGCCATTCTTGCCGATGCCTAGGCTTGGTGTGGCCGCGATAACGAGCTGGAAGCCCTTCCCGTCAGCCATTGTAGGTGTTGGGATGCTGCTGCACACGGCTTCGTCGAATTCGTCGCCGGATGGACTACTAGGGCTTACGCTACTAGCACTACTGTTACAACTTCTTACGGTGCTGAAATGCTGCAGGAAAGTCCTTGTTGGAACTTGCTCGCGTCTTCTGCGCACACTGGCTGGGTAACCGATATGTAAATTGTGTTTACCTTGTTGACATCTAAATACATGTAAAAGTGTATTGCTTCCTTGACATAATGTTCTTGCTGCGGGTAACACACAAGCCAAGACGGCTGGACAAGTTGCTTTCAAAGGCGTCATCGTGCAACGCAGTACTACGGATTGCAATACGTCAGTGGCGGGAAACGCGCCAATTCAAAACGCGTGCCGTCATGCGATGTCGGCCATGCGATGGTTGTCGTACGTGCCGGTAAGAACGCAGGCCGTCGTGTAGTTTTCTTTAGTAGCAGAGTTCATAATGCTTACAATGTACACTTAGTACTACATTATCGGCTTTGTTAGCGCGGGGTGAACTGATACGTCGATATCGTCCGCGTCGCATGAACAACTTTTTCACCACAATCCGAAGTCCATTCGCTTAAGGGCAAACTGTCTAGTGACGTCGTCGTGTTCTGGAATACAAGGTCGCTTGACGACAGCCACGTTGGGCGCAACACCCTCGCCCATGTCGTGGAGCCGTTCCTGTTTCGTGTTTACTTTGTACGTTACAGGGACGCAATCCAACGAAAACTTCCAAGTCGTTTCCTTTGTTAAAACCCAACCCTGAGCTAAACGTAACAATGCTAGTGTAAGCCATCCGCTCAGGATCCGGGCAGAGTCGTAAACCAGACCAGCCCACTTGGGACCGCAACAGATGCAATATTAGTACTGTAACATAGTGTACATAGCTGGCTGGGCGCGCAACACCAAAGCAAATAGCAAAGGACCGTGTGCATTCTTGCTCCCAGGCCGCTTCTAGGCCCAAAACATGATCTTCTGTTCTTCTCTTTGACGACGACACGACAACAACCACAATACCAAAGCATAAAGCGTAATAAGACGCAGATCATGGACACAGTCACGAATTTCACACCGCCTTGCGGCACACAACAACAAAGATGATATAATGATGCCCCTGTCCATCCTTGCTCCGCGCATATGGATCCCTGTAGGCCCGTGCGCCTTGTCAAACGAAGCCGATAGGCTTTAGTGTCCTAGAGCAATATCATGAAGCAGTATTAGTAAGAATGGCACCGTTGGCCGTTGGGTCGGTCGCGGTTGGCAGATCACAGCCAACGTGTTGGAAATGTGTAAAGCCTTCTGTACAAAGCATAACGTCGAGCCACAGTGCCACACGTGCACCACCGGTAGGTCGTGAGCAAGCAACGCCGGCTCAGGTTCTTCCGCTTTCACCACTTGTCCTCCAACAATCTCCAACCTCCACATAATACTGCCACCACCACCCTCACATAATAACAATTAGTATAAATGCCATACCTGGCCTCAAAAGGCCTCACCAAACACACCCTCACTTGCCTCGCTCCCACCTCGTGGACTCCGCCTCTGTCGGGCCCCCCCGCACACCCATGATGTTGACCTGTCACACGAACTGGTACTGGGCCTTTCCTCTTCCCCCTCATACCGCCGCTGATACCTGCCGCCCACTCCGTCCGCTGTCACCCGCTGTCATCCCTTGCTGCTGCTCCCAGCCCCCGCCACCCCCCGTCCAGTGGGGTTTTCACAAGGTTTGGTCACACTTGACCCCCCCGTCCAGTTCACTCAGCGGCTGCTCCACCACCCGCAGCAGCAGCTCCCCCCGGCTGGGCGCCCTGCCCGCCGCCACCACCGCCCGGAAGCCCGCAGACCGGGCCCGCAGCTCGCGGAGGGGCGGCAGCACCGCGCAACGCAGCACACCGCCGCCGCTGCTGGAGGTGGTGGTGGTGCTTCTGGTGCGAGAGGAGGAGGAGGAGGAGGCGGCAAGGCCCGTGGAGGTGGCGGTGTCGGGGGTGACGGCGGAGTGGGAGGCAGCGGTGGCGGTGGCGGACCCCGGGGGTGCGCGGTGGCTGTAGAAGGTGTGGTAGCGGGGCTGCGGGGGGGGCGGGACCGCAGGGGCCTCCATTTGGCTGAGGTGGTGGGGGTGGTGGGGGTGGGGATGGTGGGGGTGGGGATGGTGGGGGTGGGAGAGGGGGTGGTGGGTGTGCTGCAGGGCGATGCCGTAGGGCTCCAGGACCAGCCGGCCGGGCAGGGAGAGCAGCTGGGCGAGGGCGGGGTCGTCCAGGCCGGAGGGGCTGAAGCAGGTGGAGGAGGAGGAGGTGGAGGTGGAGGGGCAGCTGTGTCGCCAGGCGGGGGGGCCGGAGGGGCCCTGCGGGGAGGGGGCGGGCGGCAGGGGCCCCTCCTCCTCCTCCTCGCTGCTGTCCTCCTCCTCCTCTTCCTGCTCCTCCTCCTCCTCCGAGCTACCGCCGAGGGAAGAGGCTATGTAGGCGGGTGAGGGGCAGCCGGTGCGGGTGGGCTTGCGGATGAGCAGCGGGGCGCTCCGCTTCCAACCGGCAGCGGCAGCGGCAGCGGGAGCAGCAGGCCGGGAAACTGCTGCTGCTGGTTGTGCTGGTGCGGGTGGTGGTGACATCAAGCGTTCGGCACACATGCCCTCCACCCCCTCTCCTGCTGCTGCTGCTGCTGCTTGCGACCGAGCAGCAGCAGCAGCAGGCGGCTGCCCGGGGGTCGCTGCCAGCCGCTGCTGCCAGCCGCTCCCCCTCCCATTGCAGCTGCCACTCCTGCTGCCGGACCCAACCGGCCCGCACGCAGAAGCAGCAGCAGCCAGCAGCGCCAGGCAGTCGGTGGCGCCCATGGGGCCCCGCACGCCGTGTCGCCGTACAAGCGCCAGTACGGAAGCGGAGTTGCGTGCGCGGCGGCTGGTGGCGGGGGTTGGGGTTGGGGTTGGGGGCTCGGCGGGCGGAGCTGGGTAGCAGCTGCTGGGGGTGGTGGGGTGGCTGGGGCTGCATGGAGAGGGCTGCGGCTGCGGCCCCCAGGGGTCAGCGGCGGAGGGCGGGGGTGGTGGCGGTGGGGGTGTTGCGGCTCGAGAGGGCGGTGCGACCAGGTTACCGGTGTGGAAGAGGTTGTCACGACGGAAGTCGAACTTGTGGGTTGCTAGAAGGTCGAGGAGGGTGTAGTAGGCGCCCTGTAGGTCAGCGACGATGAAGAGCCGGCCGGGCTTGAGCTGGGCGGCCGTCAGGTGCAGGGTGGGCGGCTGGAGGTGGGAGGAGACGGGGTCTGCGGACGTGGGGGGCAGTGGAGAGGGTGGGAGGGAGGATTGCGAGGAGGGAGGAGTTGTGGGGGTTTGTAAGCGGCGCGCTGGTGCGAGGTGCTAAGCTAACAGCGCAACCGGGTTGCCTAAGGTGTAAAGGATGTATGCAGAATACTTTTTGTTGAACGAGAAAGAAGTCAAGTCGATTGCGTAAATTTAAAGGTCCTAAGATGGTGCTGATGGTAGCCCGGCGACGCAAAACTATGTCGCCTAATGCAGCGTAAACGACTTGCATAAGGAATCAGGCGTAACGCAATATATGACCCTGGTGTTAACGTTGCTAATCCGCACCTTGCGTGCTTGTGCAAGCGCCAACGCTCTTGGCGATGGTGGTTGCAGTTAATGTCATCACTGTCATCGCGGCCTCCCAGTCGTCCACTCTGTCGCGCAATCGTTCCAGACCTGTATGATGAACAGCAGGAGAGGCCCCCACCAACATTAGCCGCCGTTAACGGCACACCCTAACCAGCAGGCGGCGATAATGCTGTGCCAAAGATTGTCCATCCTTGACATACAGAACATTTAGCCGTGCAGAAGCGACGGACCTGGAAGGGTGGGAGCTCCGGCCTGGCTGGTGGTAGTTGCATGGCACATCGCTGTGCAACCCGCGACTTCGGACCAGGTCGTGATTGCTGTTCCTTGCCTGCAAACTATCCGAGGTTTACTCCCAGCTAAAGGTTCTGCGAGTGTGCGATTCCAAAATAGAAACCAACGGTGTTGCCTAATACTGTAGGCTGGCCCTATACTTTGGTAAGTGGACCATGTGAAGCAACTGTGCAATTCCTGTAGATAAGTGCAACGAGAGATGGACGCCTTCACAGCTCCAGTTTCCGCGAGGCCTTGTCGTACACTTGCTAGCAGTTGGCGCACCGAATGCCTGATGAAGGGATTTCTTCTTATGGCCCATAGGCCTCTGGGATGATGCTTGGGTTTGCTTAATACAGAGCGTGGAGTGTTGGAGGCACGTGCACCTTCTTACGTTGATACCGGTACGCGGCATGGCTAAGCTTGGATGGCTCCTTAGCATTTCCACCCCTTAATCGTCTTCCTTTCCTGCTGCTTCCGGCGCCTAGATGCTACTCTCTATATGCTAAACAAAGCCGCCTATAGTGATTGTTGTGCCCATGTCCATGTACCGACGGGATGGAGCTCTCTAGGCAACTGAACGCGTAAACCATAGCTGCATGTACGAATCCCTAAGCTGAAAGTGACCACCCTTGCGGAAGATTGTCCGCGCATGCCCCTGGCACGTTTGCCCTCTTTCTCCCCCATCACCAATGGCTTGCTAGCATGTCGTATTAGCCGCAAAACTGACTCCGCCAAGGTCTGAACAGGCTTGCGACTGCTGAGAGAGCTGCCCCCAGCACCCTCGCTCGTGCACAGAGCTGCCTAACAGGAGAAGCTGCTGCGCGGCAAAGGTTCCCCTTGCGTTGCCCGATAAGGGGCTATTTTCTTCCGATGGCTCATGGGTCCCTTAGCTGATATGAGAGTAAAGGGGCCGAAGAAATTTGCGAATTTCGAAATCATGTGAGTTCGGTTTACAACCCTCTTGCGTTGATATGCGGAACGGCCGAAAACTTGGATGGCATGGCCTGGCAAACCCGCCCCTTACTCGTTCCCTTCCAGCGTCCAGCGGCTTACTCCCTTTATGCTGCTAAGCCGAAACAGCCACACCTTGTCAACCCCAAAGCCAGCAGTCCCATTTACCCAAATATTCTACTTAACATCGATGGGGTTGTGCACGCATCGGGCAACTGGCTCTATATAGAATCCCCAACTACTCAAGAGTCAAGACACGCGTCTACGCAGCAGCTGCACTCCCGCAAGCTGCTCGCACTCAACCCGCTGTGTCGAAGAGGTCCATCCTGCGCACACAGGAGTGCCGACGGTCAACCCGCCAGCCCGTCAAGACCTCCGTTCGACGGTACCGCCGCTGCCTGTCACCGCCAATTCCAAACCAGTAGTATTAGAACGCGTTAGCCGTACGGTATCTGCAAACTCCGCCAAACCCTTTGCTCAAGGTAATCCCTTCTGCGTAAGCTCGTATCCCCACATGCCCCCGCCCGCTTCATGTCTACCGCCGCAAACAATATGCAGAACGCCTCACCGACACAATGGAGCACTGTTGTTTCCAGCACGAACCTTCAAAACCCCTCCACCCATCAACAAACCCATCGAGGAAACCCTAAAGAGTCTCCACCCCCACCACCATGCACGTTATCCCCCTTTCCCCACCCCCCCAGCGCTCCTTCACGCCACGCTCCTGTCACCTCCTCGCCTCCTCCCACCCCAGCCATCCCGGACAACCCAAAGCCCTCATTCTCCTCACAACAACACCATCACCTCTGGACCGCCAAATCCGGCCAAAACCCACAAACAGGTTCGCACCCCTCCACACAGCTCCCGTCACCCCCTGCTCAGCCTCCACCCCCTTCTCCTTCCCTCCCTTCCGCGCCAGTCACCGGGCCCCCACACTGCCCCCTGCATGGAACACATGCCTAGGCGCGGGTGGCAGCAACGGGAGCCGCCGGCACCGCCGCCGCCGCCGCCGGGGCCGCCGCAGCAGCGGGCGCCGAGAGGTCGCGGATGATATCCTCGAACCTCGCAATGTGGTGCGCCAGGAAGGGCGCGTACGTGGCCACCTGCTGCGAATCCGACACCATGACCATCTCGCGACCGCTCTCGGGGTCCACGTCGATGTGGAACTCCAGGTCGGTGGCCACCGTCCAGGTGCCTGGGGCGGGGGTGGGGAGGGGGGAGGGGAGAGGAAGGTAGAACACAAGTTGTTGAGCGAGCGTGACGTTGACCGACCGACACCGCTGAAAGACACAAGCGGCAGCCACCTCCCTGCCACATCCCACTTCTAGGCTTCTTCCCTCCCTCCCCCCCTCCCTCCCACCTGACGTCATGTCCTTTCCTCCGTCCCACTTGAGCTGCCGCTGCTTGTTCTTCAGGCACAGCAGCTGCTGCCTCAGCGCGCCCTCCTCCACGTCCATCAGCGCCGCCAGCCGCGCCAGGCTGATGCTGCTGTACAGTTGCAGGTACTGCTTCATCTGTGGCAGCGCCTGCTGCGAGCGCACTTCCAGCAGGAACGAGTTCAGCTGCGCGCGGAAGGCCAGCTGGTTGGTGTTGGTGGTGGCCTGGTCGTAGGCGGGCGGCGTGGAGGTGACGAACTTGGGGCAGGCGTCCCGGAAGAGCGTGTCGTACACGTCCGTGTCACCCCGGCCCATGGCGGCCATGTTGTCCGACTGGCGCTCGCGGAGCTGGGGGTGGTGAGGGGGGGAGGGGTAAAGGGGGGGGCGAAAAATAAGGAAACCGACGGGGGCAACAAACGAGCTGTGTGCTGGTGGAGGGAGGAAAACTTATATAAGAAATGCAAACAACTAAACTCCCAATCCCATATCCCGACTCATGCAGTGAGTGCATTCGGAGACACTATCCTAGAAACACGCAAAGAAAGGGAGGGAGGGTGGACGGGTTGGGGGAGGAAAACCTTATCGGATGACCCCGCACCAGGGTAAGAGGGAGAACAGCGCGGGGAGATGCAGGCCACACTCTCCCCACATCCCGCTCCAGCCCCCTCCAGCTGTCCCCATACACAAGCTTCGCCACATGACCCATCATCCCTCTCTTCCCCTTCCCTTCCCTACCCCCACCCCACCTGCATCAGCACGTTCTCGTCCAGGCTCTTCGCCGCCACGGGGCACAGCGCCAGGCAGATGGCCAGCAGCGCGTACATCTGCTCGTTCTTCTTGAGCATCTGCTCGAAGTGTGGGCTGCTGCGATGCGCGGACTTGACGCGGTAGATGTACAGCAGCACCGCGTTGAAGCAGCGGGCCGCGTCGAGGTACCTGGGGGGGCAGGGGGAGAATACCAAGCAGGGTGGATAGGGGGGAGGGGGTGTCAGCATGCTACGAGACCTCTTATCGTTACGGCAATGCAAGCCCATTTCCGAAGGGTGGGTTAGGCGCCCGGAGGCCTCCCGAGCCGGTCCCTGTGTGTTGCGACACACCCTCCCCCCCTCGTTCCAAGCACCGGCCCCGCAACTGGGCTCCAAGAGGCGTGAACATGTGTTTTACTGCGGCCCCAGCAACCCCCTCGGCCTCCCCGCCTCCCCTTCCCCCCCACCTGCGCTGCATGAGGTATGCAAAGCCCCCGTAGTAGAAGAGGGTGATGTGCGCCCCGGGGATGCGAGGGGTGAAGAGGTGGGCGCGCTCGTGCAGGTTGAGCGGGTAGATGGCCTTAGGGGGGGAAAGGAGGGGGCACGGGAAGGTGAGGAGGGTGGGGGGGATGGAGGCCACTGGTGGTCAGGTGGCGGCAGGACAGCAGCGGAGGCCCCGTGTTAGCCCCAGTTCCCCCCCCCCCACACACACAGCATCCGCCGCACTCCTGCCCTGCTCCCTCCATGGCCCCACCGTTGGGAGCCCGAAGGAGCCCCCCGACCTCTCTCTACTGCCCGGCTCCATGCTGCACTCACGCAGCAAGCACCCAGCCACCCGCACCCCACCCCACTGTGACAACACCTGCCAGCAGCCGGCTCCCCCGCCCCTCCGATTCCCAGCCCCCCCTTACCTTTCTCCTTCGGAAATTGGAATTGGAACTCCAGTTGCTTCATTTCCCAACCATATTTCCCAGGAACCCCTCCCCCCTTCCCGCCCCCCCTCCCCCCCTTCCCCACCTTGAGTGCGGTGTTGTAGTCGCCCACCAAGCAGTGCACCCGCAGCAGCCCCGTCAGCGCAAAGTAGCCCAGCAGCCGCAGCACGTTGGAGGACTGCGGGTAGTAGCCGTCCAGATCACACAGCCTTGTAGGATGGGGGAGGGAGGGGGGCAGCAGGTGAAGGCCGGTGCCGACGGAGGTGGTGTGCATGCTGGAGTGCAGTTCAGGTAGACCTCACGACGCCCAGGTGCTACCCAGGCACAAAGCACATGGCTCCACGGACCCACCCAGGAGACCGCCCCCTCACCGACTCCTCCCTCACCGACACCACCAGCGCATGCCCCCCCCCCGCTGCTGCAGCCCCATCTGCTCCCTCCCTACCTCCCCCGCCCCGGCCCCGCCCAGCCGGCATCCGTCTCCCTCCCCCACTTCCCCCAACCCCTCTCCTCCCCCCACCTTTCGCCCCCGTCCCCCTCCAGCTCCGCCACGATGCCGCTCTTGTCCACCAGCGCCTGCAGGATGTTGAGCACCTCCACGCTGTTCCATACCTGGGGGGGAGGGGGAGAGAGGGGGTTGGTTGGGTGGGGTTTGCACAGGGGCAGGTTGCAGCAGACAACGCACCGCAAGGACCAGTGGACCCCGTTTTAGCTCTCACAGCAACGACACCAGGCAGCCAACCCCGCCATACGAGTCAACCCCAAACAAACCGCAAACCCCCCCTCTCCACCACACCAGGTCCCCCCGCCCCCCCCGCTCGGGATTTGGGAACGGGATTCCGTTGCTGCATTTTTCTCTTCTTTTCCCCGCCCCCCCCCCGCCCCCACCTTGTCGCACTTCTTGAGGTTCTCAATCTCCTCGGGCGACATCGACTGCACCTTTCCGCGGTACTGGCAGAAGGACTGGGGGGAGGGGAGGAGGGGGAGGGTGAGAGGAGGGGAGGGTAGGAGAGGTAAGACAAGGGGAGTGGAGTTGCGAGCATGTACGGCGCAGCGGCAGGAGGGACCCACCACCCGCACGGCGGCGAGGAGGAGACTCCGCCAGTCGGGGTCCCCCGCAACAGCTCCCAGCAACAACACCACCGGCCAACACGCTGCGCCCGAGGCTCAAGGCCAACAGACCCCGACATGATGGGCAAGCCGCCCCACACAACTCCGGTTGCCCAGGACCTCTTTTACCCGCCTTCCCAAGGCCCTACCATCTCCCCACCCAGCTCTGCCATCTTTCTGCTGATGTTATCTTGTCGCAACGCGGCCTTTGCTCCCTCCCTTCAACACCCCTGGGGTTTCGTTTCTTTGCTGCCTAGAGGCTCCCCATTGCTGATGGCCATTGCGGCAGTAAGCCTCATCACCCACCATTCCACGCATGCGTCTCCTTCTGCCGTCTCCTATCCCCACTTCTCTACCCTAACCACCTGGTACCCCGCCCCCCCCACCTGGAACTGGTAGAGGAACTCGTCCACCATGTCCCACAGCCCCCCCCACCTGGAACTGGTAGAGGAACTCGTCCACCATGTCCCACAGCCCCCCTCACCTGGAACTGGTAGAGGAACTCGTCCACCATGTCCCACAGCCCCCCCCCACCTGGAACTGGTAGAGGAACTCGTCCACCATGTCCCACAGCCCCCCCCCACCTGGAACTGGTAGAGGAACTCGTCCACCATGTCCCACAGCCCCCCTCACCTGGAACTGGTAGAGGAACTCGTCCACCA